TAAAAAGATAAGGATCACTAATAATGAAATCCTATCAAAGGAACTGTCACTTGTTCTTTTGTAATATAACTGTTTAGTTGATTTCATTTTAAAACATTTAGAATTTGTCATATAGAGCAAAATATTTCGTCTCTTTAGTAACTTTTATATTTACTATGATTTCTTTTCCTTTATTCTTTTTCTTTTTCTTTTTCTTTTCTTTTCCAGCATATATAATACTAATATTAATATATTTATTTACAGTATAATAGCAGTATCATAATTAAGGCCGTCAGAGCTGACAGTAGGCATTTGCATCATAAATATGATCTAAACACATATTTTACCTATCTCATATTATTTCATTAATATCTATATTTTTTCTTTTTTCTTTCTTTTCTTTTATTTTTTTTTTCCCCTCTTCTTATTGTATTGAAATTATGCTGCCAATTAATATATACATAGTACGTAGTAAAATTCTATTTACAATGGCATGTGAGCTTGTAATGATGCTGCATTGATAAAGGTAGTTGGTGTATTTAACAGTCAAACGAGCTGTACTTCTAATTTCTGGAAGCATTTAGTTTCCTTAAGATGTTAATAAATACTACGATATATTCGTTATTCAGAAAATATAAAGGCAGGTAATCATTTATAATATTGAAATACTGGTTGATATATATTCTATAAGTCATTGAAATAGATTTATATATGGATCATTAACTATTTAGGAAAAATTAAAAAAAATATTATATATCGTATGGTAAAAGAAGGAAAGTATTATCAAAAGATATGCAATTAGCAAATATTTGTGACCTTCTTAAGGTTTCTTCTTTTTTCTTTTCTTCAACAATCATTATAGTCTTTTTCTTTTTATTTAGACGATTTATCGTCAACACTGTCAGCTGCATTTATATCCATCACGTATTTGGCACTTGTGGAGTGCCGAAAAAGAATCGATACTCGCAGCAAAGATGAATACATGAAAATTATGAGAATTAATGAAGAAATATATTTTCTTTTCCCGTAAAAAATTTCAGTATCTCTATTTTGTTGTATGGGACCGCTTTCGTATTGCTTTAAGATCTACACATTAAACACCTACTGCCATTTCTTATTTTGATTTTTGCGAATAATTTTATATTATCGTAGTTACTTATAAATAATAAGATCTTGAAATAATTAATCATACATAAAAATCATGAAAACAAACTTTTGATCAAATTCCAGTTTGTCAATTTTCAATGAAATATACATATATATATATATATGTATGTGAGTGTCAATGACTATATTTATTCTCTTAAAATTTCTTTTAAGTTCTCTGATCCTTCATTTACAATTGTCATAATATATCCAGGTACGTACATTATATCGTGCAAGTATTTTTCTTCAAAATACTTAAAATATATATAGAGATATATATATATAATATAGAAAATGAAATTAAAATTGTATTTTATATTTTATAGGAACATCCGTCTTGGAGGGTTCTTAGTTGAAATGCAGCAACAACTTTCAGTATTTACTTAACACTCTTGCGAGGCCTACCGCGTTGTTTAGTTTCACTGCTTACAGTTTGATTAAGAGTTGATCGTTTGGCAGTATGAGTACTGGCTACTTTATGCACAGTCCTTCCTACTTCTATTTTGTATAAATCTAAAGAAATATCTTCACTTTCAATCGCTTTTCTAGACCGCCGTGTACGTCCAGCTATTCGTTCCATTTCGTTAAATTTAGCTTGTAATCTTTTAGCAAATTCAAAATCTGCTTTTTCTTGGAGAACTAATCTTTCTATTCTTTCTTGTTCTTTTATTACTTCTTCGTTTGATAAAACATTCTCATCGACTATTTTAGCACTATGGGCATTATTATCTGATAGTGTTTCTTCTGATGCAAGACATGGGCTTAATCGATCACAATTACGTTTATTGTTATTAGGATTTTCTTTACTTAAAACCTCTTGATCATGTTTTGGGAAAGAATTATTGACTACTGTTTTGATATTTCGATTTGACTTTCTTAATCCATGAATAGTGTTGCAATGTTTATTGAGACTATCTACATCATCTTTTATATTTTCACTTTTGTTTCTTAATGTAGGCTTATGTGAACAATTCAACTTTACCCTTTTTTGTACGGTAACTGCAGATTGTTCACTCGTTGATGTTTCTTCATTACTTTTTCTAGATAAAGCTCTTTTCCGTACACTTCTTTTAGTTGTAGATTTCCTCTCCTCTTCGCTATCTACTTCCAATATTTTGTCTTGTTCAACTTGTGAATTTTTTCTTTTGACATTTACTTTCCTCTTTTTAATTCTTTCCGCAATATTTTCTACGGCTGGATTATCCCTACTATCTTCTTCCTGTTCATTACATTCTAAACGTTCCTTAGGATTATTCAATAAAGAATCAGAACTCGTTACATTATCATTTACCTCTTCTTTATCTAATGTTAACTCGACATCTTTTCTATTTAATAACATATTTTTCTGTCTCTTACTTTTTCCCACCATGCCATTCTTTATTTGTGATTTCCATGTCTTTTGGACCTTCCCTGAAGTTACATGCTCATCTAAGATTTGTTTTTTACTTACTTTAGTACCATTAATTGTTTTATTTATATTCTTCGCATAATTCTTATTACTATCAAATGATAGATCAGAAATCAAGTCAAGTCTGCGTATAGCATCATGTATCTGAGATTTGAATAATTTATCATTGAATTGATGAGTAAGAGAAGTTGATGGATGTTGTTCAACTTCATTTATTTTCTCTTTAGAATTACACATAATCTCTTTTATTTTCATATCTTGCCTGATTTTACCTATAATAAATTATTAACATTAATATTATTACATAATTAATATTGATATATTATTATTGTTATTATTTTTTAATCATATTCTTTTAAACAATGGCGGGATTTAGTATTTGCGGCAATGAACTTTTGAGTTCCTAATACCAACTAATAATAATAATAATAATAATAATAATAATAATAATTCTTTTTGAATACACACCTTTGAAAGCACTCCATGAACATCCAATAATTCTCTTTAAATGAGTTGGAGATGGAGCTTTTGGTAAAGCATTAGATATTCTCTTTAAAACAGGTATCACTCTAACCAATTTTGGTTCAATTTGTTTTCCATCTATATATTTCATTATAAAAACAACATATTAACAAAATTGCATAATATATATATATATTCAACATACAAATAAAATATTATAAAAGGCATTATACCTATGGACATTTTGAAAGGTGTTCGTGGCATTGCCTTAATAGGTTTAAAGTGATGAATTTCTTGATTGATACTATCATGACTACCTGCACTTTCTGCACTGCCAATTCTTTCATCGCCATTTCCTGAAGTGACACAAACTTCTACTCCTAAACTTTTCTTTTTACTATTTAAAACGTCACTAGGTACACGTAATTCTTCTTTACTCTGCATACCATAAATTTTGGAAGTAGAACATCCTGGCTCCAAAGAATAATTTGAAGTTCCAGGCTGAGTAAATTTAGTTACCACTTGATGTTTTAGAGTTCTTGCAATAGAGTTGTAAATGGGCACAGATTTTTGACAACAAAATTTAGCAGTAGGATCTTTATATGCATTTGATGTATTTGGTTTTACATTGGATGAATATCTTTCTGCACGCATTTTAGATATTAAAGCAACATTGGACCGTCTCAACTCAGAACTATTTTTTAACTCTGGAATATTCTTCTGAAATATTTTTCTAGTTTCCAAACTTTGTCCATCAAATTTAAACATTTCTGTATTAAGCAATGGCATTGACTTAGTATCAAACTTGGATGTATCAAGAGGACAATTTGACACCGATGAAGTTACACATTCATTTTGATATAACTTCACCTCTTTCTGTTTATCTACTAATTGCTTCTTCGCTAAATTCTGAGCTAGTAATTGATCTTGTGCTATTTGTGCAAATTGTTGCTGCTGTTCTTCAACTTGAAGTTTTCTTATTAATGCCTCACTAGCAATGTCTTCATTCTCTCTTCTACGTCGCATTTCTTCTTCAGCCATTTGAAGTTGTGCTTCATATTCTCTTCGAATTTCTCCAGCAGCACTAAGTATCTTACTCCTTGCTGATAATCCTGTGAAATAAATTAATTAATTTCTCTTTCAACTAAATTTCTTTAAATCTAAATAAGAAACAGTGATTTTAATATGTTTGAGCATTATTGATAACTAGTACAATACATACGCATATGGAAATAATGTGTGTATGTATATGTATGCGTGTGTGTATGCATTTTAATGAAATTGGGGTTATGTTATGTTTGTTTATTGTTACATTGTGTCACTCACCAATGTCTAATTCACTTTCTCCGTCGTTTCCGTTATATTTATTTTCAACCTCTTTGGGAAATTTAGTCCTGATAAGATCCCAAAGTGCATTGTTGACCAATGTTTCAGATTTGGTAGCTGTACGAAGCCAAGAACCTACACGAACTCTGCAAAGAGGACAACTCAGGCTGTTATGTTCAAAGGTTCCTTTTAAACACCGTAAACAGAGGTTATGTGTACAAGGAAGTGTCACTGGCTCAATTAATAAACCGCGGCACACGGGACACATTAAATCTCTTATATTCACATCTGCGGAAGATCGCAACAATGAAATATCAAATAATTTTGACGTTCGTTTTAAATATGTCGCCATCTTTTCATATTCTTTCAGGGGGGTCAAATTCGAGCAAGAAAGCTAGAGTTTCAATTGTATTAAACTAAAATCATAGGTGGCCTTAGTGTACTGAGAAAGTGTCATCTTACTGGTAAGAAATGAACTACTCAAATTTAACTCTAATTCTTGTGACAATTTATTTACCATCAATTAGTTAATTTTTTATTGATATTGATAAAAGATCCTCCTAAGATATTTGATAAAATCATTGAGGCTTAGTTTCTAATATTATTTTTAGTTATTAGATGACGCTTTATATAGATATTAACGCCATCTGTAATTTTTTCTTTAAATAAAATATTTCAGAATCTCTATACTTTTTAATACTATTCAGTTTATAATCTATGGAAGATATTATTACGATACAATTCAATTGATACAAATTTAACTACATATTCCAATAGTGAATCTAACAAGAGATAATATTAACAACATTATGTCTCCGAGATTAAGGAAATGTAAGGTGTAAACACTAATATTTACAGTAACTCAATGTCATAAAAATAATCGTATACGTGTGTCCTATATTGTTTGCTTCAGCTTAATTGTAATACAAAAATGGCGATTATTTTGAGGAAGATAAACTTATAACTAATAGTATATCAAGAAATTGCTTCTTATATTAAGATATATCTTTAAATTTGTATTTTTATTTTTTTGAATAATTTGATCTTTGTACAATATTATACTATTTTTAATTAATCGTTTATTTATTATTATATACAAATTCTAATAATAATAACGTTACTTGATATTTCATAATCTTTTTCAATTGCAGGTCGTACAATGGATACATCCGGTGTTATCACAAGAAAAAAAGCTAAAACACGTAATTTGAAAAATAAAAATTCCAACTCTTCGCAAGATTTTGAGAAATCTATTGAAAATAAGAAAAATGAACAACCTAGAATACTAAATTCTTTAAATAAACAATATTCAGAAGAAAACACAAGCTCTGAAAAATCAAAAAGAAGTTATACTTCTAACAGGTTTAGAATGATTAAAAATCTCAAGCCAAAGGCAAAGAAATCTATTGCAAATAATGAATCTGTAAGTAATATTGAGAACATTACATGTGAACTATTTAATGATTCATCTTTCAATTTGGATATGAATAATGAAAAGAAAAGCATGCATAACTTATCGCTAACTAAAATTGTTACTCCTAAAAGTAGTCCTATTTCGATAACTTTAACACCTCAGAGGGCTACCAAGACGCCAAAAAAATCACCTTTACATTTAAATTCTCCTAAGACGCATTCTAATGTCTCTCTTACAACATCAAAAACACCTAGAAAGTTAATGCTTTCTGTTAATTCCCCTACTATATTTAATAATTCTGAAAAGTCTTTACAAAACAGAAGAAAAATGAATAAAAGTAAATTAAGTGATGATTCAACGAGTAATGTTAAAGCAAATTTAAACAAATTAAAGATAAGTCCAAAGAGAATTCATTCATCTTCTAAAAAGATATTAAGATTATCTAAAACTCCAAAAATTATAGTAAGATCGCCAAAAAAGTCTAAAAATAAATCATCAAAAATGAGATTATCTAATGAAAAACGTACGAGCTTCTCGGTATTAAAAATAGAAAAATCTCCAAAAAAGGATATATCAACAAAAATCTCTAGTCGTTCCAAGAAAAGTGATGTAATTAACAAATCATTGTCAAGAAAATCAGATGACTTAAATATAACTTTGACAAATTCAAATAATCTATCTGCTTTATATCAAGAAATAATATCAAAAAAGCCAGTGATAATACTTGAAAGAATCCCATTATTGGAAAATTTTATTCGATCATCTAAGTCTATAAATAATCAACATCCAATGAATAGTACATTTAATGTTAAACAAATAGAAAAACAATTGTGTAATATTTCAAATTCTTTAAAAACTTCATTTTCATTGCATTCAGCAAAAAATGAAGAATTAAGTAATATAAATACTTTAAATTTAAAATCAAGTCCACAAATAAAGCGTAAATCAAATTTAATAGTAAATGATACATTATTTCATTTAGCACCAAAAGCATCAAGTAGTCCTTTAATTGAAAAAAGAACTCATAAAAGGTCTACTAATTTTAATTTGACTAATAAAACAAATGAATTGAACAATAGCAGTCAAAATAACACTATTAATGTTAATGAAAAACAAACAAATATAGCAGATGAGACATATGAACTTTTTGAACCAAAAACTCCGTGCTTACGAGAGCAATGCAGAAAACGTAAAGCAGAAGAAAGGGACTCTGATAATGAAAGAGATAATAAAAGAACACGTAAAGTTCTTTTTGCTGCTTCAACATCTTCTACTAGTAAATTGCAGACAACAGCATTAAATAATAAGAATGTTGAGCTTAATTCTCCTATTTCATTATTCAAACCAGAATCAGTTAATAAAAGAGAAATTAGAAAAACTCAAATTGTGAAAAGGATGCCAAGGTCTCTGCCCAATAGTTCAACAAATAAGAATACACAGAATTCTGAAATTAAAAGATCTCTTTTTAACAGTAATAGAAAAATAAAACAAACATCCTCATCTACATTAAACGAAACAAAACTTATTGAAAATAAAGAGAAAAAAGGTAAAATATTATCTAACAAACAATTCAATTTAAATACAATAAATTTGAATATTTATATGTGTATGTGCATGTATACATGTCATATGTAATGATTTAAATTGTATTTAATTGCAGATATCAAAATACATAGTGCCAAAAAAATTCCAAATTTTCATAAAATACACACAAAACTGTTCTCTAAAATGGAATCTCTTGTAGATAATAAAAAACGTCTGATGAATCAATATAAAGCATTAAGTAATGATCATATAATAAAGTCATTTAAAATATTATATAATACATATTAAAATTTATGTGAATTAATTATACGTTTATTGTTCACAGAATCATTCAATGTAACAAAATTAAATACACCAAAAAATGTCAAATCTTCGCCAACTAACACAAAAAATGACGGTTACAATAGATTTGGTTTTAGAATAAGGAAACCTGAAGCCACCAACATTGTTTTAAGAAAACAACCGCCAAATCGGCAGTAAGTAATAAATTTTTAAATTACCATCATCTTTTCTATGTGCAATAAATATTAATAATATATAAATATATAATATATGAATACATATGTTTATAGACAAGAAAAACGAGAAGAAAATAGAGTGTTCTTGAAGGGTGTAAGAACAAATAGGCGATTTGAATTACAAATGAAAATGCGTAACTTACCTAAATAAGTGATATTAATAGATATTTTTTAATATTACTTTATATACACCACTATTAAGTAAGAGAAAAACAATGGTTAATTTGGACTATACTTTTTGTTATAACTTTTTAAACAGTTATTCATTGATTATTTTATTTTACATTGTTTATCCAAAATAAAAAATAAAATATATATATATATATACTAAACCAAAATATTTAATTAATTGAAAAAATTTGACATATATAGATTATTTTAATATATTATAGTTTATAAAAAAAAATATTAATGCAGTATTATTGTAAGATTCTTCAAAAAACTCTAAAATATCATATTCTTTATATATATATTTAAACATATATAAAAAAAATGTAATAATTTTCATTTATCTTAGTTTATATGATTATTTTTTAATTTAATTATAATACCTATTTGTACTTTCTTACTTGTATGTAACTGTTGTCTGTAACTGTAACTAGTAAGAACAGTAAAAGTAAGAATGAACGTTCTATTGTTTTAATTTACTCGCGTAATATAAACATTTTACAAATTAAGACTAATGCGCGAATGTATACATTTAGGAATGTTTAAGAGACAATTAGGCGTACATATTTGCGAATTGCCAAAAGTTTCTGATAGCAATTTGCCAAAGTTACCACCTAATGCAAATATTTTTACTCGTTGGAAACGTAGTTATACAAAATTAATCTTAGTTTCTGCAAAACATCCACTTACAAGTTTTTCTCTGCGCAGTCGTGCTGCTATAACTTTTGAGAAAAGAAGACATGGTCGTTCATTGCTTTGGTGGATAATACATCCATACAGCACTTTAAGGTATCGTGGAAAGAATATGTATAATAATTACATTATGGAACATGTAATCTTTCAGATTTTTTTGGGATCTGTTAATGATAATTACATATCTATATATTTTCATTATGGTACCATACATCATGACATTTCATAGAATAGCTAAAAACACAGATACTGAGTCATGGATAATTGTTTATCCTGCATATGTAGTTTGTATAATTGATATATTTCTTAATTTTATAACTGGATATGTATCAACCGACGGTAATGAAATATTCCTGAATCCTGTTTTAATAGCACGGTAAATTTATAAAAATTTTTTGAAAAAAATCTCCATGACAGAGAATTAGATAGATATATTTAATAATATTTTTATCTTCAAGGAATTATATAAAAAGATATTTTTTCATAGACCTTGTTTCCTCTATTCCTTATACTTGGTTTTATAAACAACGCATATTACCACCTGGACCTAATTCCAATTCTATATTTCTTTTACTCGAGATCTTGCCTGTATTAAAGATTATAAGATTAGGTACACTGTATCATTATCTTAGACAACTTAATATTGTAAGTTTCTATAAGATAACAATAATTTATAATGTATTAATTATATAAGCTAAAAGGAATAATATATATTCGTTTAACAGACTTTTGGATGTTCTCCTGCTAAAAAGATAATTATTTGGCTTATTATCCAGACTTTATTAATTTTTCATTGGAGCAGCTGTTTGTCTTATTTATTTCCATATATTGTAATGCATATAATCGGAGATAGTATGGAGGTATGAAGATTCTACGATTATTACAATTATTATATTTATAAAATATTAATGATTTGTAGAACTCCGGAACATATTTAATGCACACAGGATTATATAAACAGTCTGATTGGATTATTTATTTAGAATCTTTGCATATTGGTTTAAGTAATTTAATTGGATTTAATTTTGTTGAATTTCAATCATTTGGTACTTTAGATAAAATTGCTCACTGTATATTACTTACCTTTGGAAAAGGCTACATGATTTGCACGATTGGAAAGTATAATAATCCTTTTTTAGTGTAATATATTTTTAATTAAAATTAATATTTCAATGTATTATAAAAAATATAGTTCTTATCCTGCAATTATTTGAATCGTTGGCGGAATCAGAGTTAAAATATCATGAAATTATACACGGTGTAAAAAATTATGTTGAAGAAAAAAAACTTCCGAAACATCTTCAAAATAAACTTCTTAATTATTACGAATATAGATTTCAAGGACATTTTTTTAAAGAACAAGCTATATCAAATACTCTTTCTAGTTAGTTTAAAAAAATACAAGAACTATATGATTTTAAGATTTTAATTGTTAAAGAAATTTGTATTAATATATATTTTTTAGATCATCTTAATCAAGAAATTATGATCCATAGTAGTTATGGTTTATTAGATACTGCAAAAATACTTCGTAATTTACCACCAATTGTGCTTAGAAATTTAATTGGTAATATTTAGATTAAATAACAAAAATTATATTTCTTCAAAGTAATATTTTAATTCTTTTTTTTACAGCGGTTTTAAAACCAGTTATTTACATGGAAACCGATGTAATTTATAAATATCATGAAGAAGGTGATTGTATGTACTTCATAGCTAATGGAACAGTTGCACTAATCACTTTTTGGGGTAAAGAAGTGAGTAATAACAATTAATTTAATTAATAATAGATCGTACATATTATATTATTATATATGTATTAATAAAATAGATTGTGTTCATTTATTCAGATTTGCCATCTTGAAAGTGGTGATCATTTTGGTGCTGAAGTTTTACTTAATTCTCAAAAGCGAAGATATGAATCAGTTTTAGCTTTAGAAGTATGTGAACTTCTACGTTTGGATCGTCAAAATTTTAAACTTGTTGCTCCTCGCGAATCTGAATTATTCAATAGAATTGAAAAAGATACAATGAACAGAATTAAGTTAATTGAAAAATTGGAAAAGCTGCATCTAATGTCTGAACAAACAAAAAATGAAAATAAGGAAAGGGAAAAAATGATTTAAAATATCGAATTTCATACTATTAATATTTCATTTTGATGTATAATTTAATGAAACAATTCATTAATTTAAATCGCCATTCGGTGTAATTGCAATTTTGATTTTATATTTAATAATATTACTAGCGCCACGTTGCGTCTCAAATAAGAACTAAACTGCGTTATTCTTCGTCTAGTTTAATCAGATTTGGTTAAGTTAAGTTAGATTTTGTTTAAGAAAAGATTAACGTTCAAATTTATTTATTAATCGTTCTATATACACGAACATTTAAAAAAATAATTTATTTCAATTATTAATGAAGACAGCTACACATCAAAGACTAGTCATGGTTGGCGATCGCGATGGGTAATTAGAATTCAATTAAATATTTTTATAAGAATAGTTAAATAAAAAGTTTGTTTATAAACAATTAATATTTATTAAATATTTTTAATGTAAAAAAAAAACAGAAACGTTAAAAAATATTATTAAAAAATATATTGATATTTATTAAAAGTAAAAATTAAAGTTTATACACCTAATTTTAGATTGAAAGAACTTTTAAGACGACGATTGGTGGAATGTGGATGGAGAGATCAAGTTAAATTAATCTGCAAAGAAATAATAAAAGAACATGGTCATGATATAACTTATGATACGTTACTTTCTATGGTAACAAGTAAAGCACGAACACTTGTACCTGATTCTGTAAAGAAAGAATTATTACAAAAAATAAAAAATCAACTTGTAGCTCAAGAAGAAAAATTGAAAATGTAAATATCTTACAAATTTTGTGACTTTCTTTTGTTACCTTAAATACGACTTACTAAATTTATGTACATATACATAGATATTAAAAATTTTTGTACAATATTATATAAACTAAAAAAAAAAAGCTACATTTAAATAACATGATTCTTAAATAGTAATTTTCAAAGCTTTGATATAATAAAATTGCAATAATATTGTATTTAAAAAAACATTGATCTTACCATAGTTAGTATTTCTTTAAATTTAGATTGTAGATCTAATTTGATAATAAAAAACGGTTTTATATCTTTTATAAATAATTGAAATTGTGTCTTGTTTATATTAATGCATTGAGTGCCATGCGAATTTATAAGATAATCGTCGTCAGGCCACTTGCACTACTTAGAAGTGTGTTGATAGTGTGATATAGCCATTATTTATTATTGTAGCAGATAATACTTACGTTTAGAACAAAATGCTTATAGACATTAGTCCAACATTTTAAGCGCCAAGTCTGTTTTATCTTGTTTATCGTTCGGTCCGCTAGATGAGATTTCATTGAAATTGCCTTATGGCCGGGGATCTGTTTAGGTTAGGACAAAGCAATACAAACATTTTTATTCTGTTCTTTGTGATTCTTGGTTCAGTGTAAACAAAAATCTTTAGCCTTGAACGTAAAAATGTCAGAAGAAGAGTATGAAAGCGATAATAGTGAAATTAATTATTCTAAAAAACGTAAAATGTTTTCGTCGACGGATGAAGAGAAAGAAACGTTTACAATGTGGCATGAACCGATAGCTAAGCAACCAAATTTAATGTCTTTTACCAGTCCTTCTGGGTTTATAATTGAAAATTTAAATATAAGTTCAAACGTAGCAATAGAAACTTGCTATGAACAATTTGTGCCAGATACATTGTTCGAGGAAATCGCTGAGCAAACAAATTTATATGCATCACAGCAATTACAAAATAAATCCTCGCAGCGCTTATGCAAGTGGACATTGACAAACAAAAATGAAATAAAAAAATTTTTTGGATTAATTCTATGGATGGGGTTAGTTAGATTACCATCATTACATTTATATTGGTCCCATGATCCTGCATATATACAAACATTTCCGAAAAAAGTCATGTCCAGAAACAGATTTGAATTATTATTGAGAATGCTACATTTTGCAGATAACAAAAAGAATGATGGGTCTAGTCGTTTGTATGAAATACAACCACTTATAGACACTTTGGGAATAACTTTTAAAAAATATTTTAATCCAACAGAGGACATATGTATAAATGAAGCATTGATTCCATTTAATAACTATATTATATTTGGACAATATTTAAAAAAAGAACACAACATATGTGGAATTAATATATTTAAATTGTGTTGCGAACCTGGTTACACGTATGCCTTTCTTGTATACATAGGAAAAATTATAAAAAAAAACAACACTATGCCCCCTGAAATCGTAATGTCTCTTTGTAAAGATTTATTCGATAAAGGACACACGCTGTATACCAATGACTTGTATACGAGTGTAGAATTGGCAGAAAGATTAATCGATAAAAATATTCATTTAGTGGGAACATTAAATTCAAATCAATGGAATCTTCCGCAGCAAGTAATATCGAAAAAGTTAAAACCGTGGGAATCTATTGCAAACGAGAATGAAAAAGGAATAACTGTTTTAAAATGGAAAGATAAGCGGGATATCCTACTTCTGTCAACAAAGCACTCATCACAATTGGTGAATGTTAAAAGACGATTAGAACAAAAGTTGAAACCACAAATTGTAGTTGATTATAACAGAGGAAAGGCAGCTGCTGATTTATCTGACCTAATGAGAGCCTACTATCCACTACGCAGATCTTTAAAATGGTATAAAAAGCTAGCTTTTGAGTTCTTATTAAATATTGCAGTTATGAATAGTATCATTTTATACAAAAATATCACAAAGAAGAATATCACTATTAATGAATTTCGGAAGCAATTAGCCCTATACCTCACAGGTTCCTCGAATGGAGATATTCCCTCTAGCAGTATTGCAACTACTATTAAACAAATACGACATAAACTCGAAAAAAAGCCTGGAAAAGTCTCTAAAATGAGAAAATATTGTAAATTATGCTATGAAGAAAGTGCGGCAAAATATGGTAGAGAAATTGCTAGAAAAACTACTAAACAAGTTGCCACATTTTGCAATACCTGCGAAGGACAACCGTTTTTATGTTTACCGTGTTTCAATAAAATGCATTAAAATTTTTTTGATAAGAAATTTTTAAGTATATTAATATAATAATGTAATAATTAATTTTTATTACAAATCTTGTAATAAAAAAAAATATAATTTGTGTAATAAGTAGCACTTGACATGCTAAGATATATATATAGGTACAAATAGTATTTTATTATTACCATATAAAGATTATTTTTTAATATTAAAATTAAATAAAGAAAAATTCTATAAAAATTAAACATTGATAGATTAATATTTGATTTAAAATAGATGCAGCAATAAAATGTTCTTTTATCTATAGAGAAGGAAAGGAATACTATTTTACAAATAAAAATATTATAATATTTAAACTTTAAATCTTTTAATATCTTCAGGCTTAAGATCTATTCTAAGAGATGCAATTTGTCTAACTTCGGCAGGAGTTAATCTCCATGCTATTGCATCTGCTCCACAATAATCAGCCAATTCTTCTACTTTTTCTATACTCAGTATAGTCGCTATTTGAGTTAAACGTGCAAATTTATCACGCACAGACCATGATGTTGCTGCTGCTAAATAACTGGCTAATGATCTAATTTCTTTATCTAAAATAAGTCCGCCAGCCTGAAAAAGTAAATAAATATATACATAAGATCTGTTAATAAATGTAAATATGTAAATATATGTAGACGTGTATACATTATTATATTAAACAAACGCATACTCTGTTAAAGGTCGATTTTAAAATAACTTTTTCTAAACGCGCTGTAACTTCTTTAGTTAAAATATCAATAAGAGCATCATAATTTGATGTTGTTAAATTGCTCTTAAAACCTTGAAGTAAACCTTCTAAATTAGTTACTAAAATTTGTACGAAAGGTTCATCCGTTTCATATCTTAATAATTCATCCTGAAAATATAGATAATTATTCTATATAATATTAAGTCATTTTATTAATATTATGATATTATGTAAAAATAAAGACTGATTTAATACAATTTTTTATTTCATACAAACCTCATTAATATGATGATCTATGGACAAAAATGCATCTACCCAGGGTGTTACTCTAGGTTTTACGGCACTTACACGCAATTGCTCTAACCCATAATCAGTAACAGCTCTTAAAATAGAAGTTACTCCTTTTAAACCGGAAAGACAACTGTCTATTTTTCCTATATCTTTTTCAGCCATATTAGGAAATGTTGTATCTATTTCTGCACTCAGAGTTTTGCATAACGTTTCAACGTATTCAATACTAACATCTGTATTGTTTAAATATGCCTAAAGTAATGATTACAAATTAATATTAATTTAGATATTGTTAATAATATGTAACTATATATAATAATTGAAAAGTATCGCTTATATTACCAAGAACATAAGACGAGCAAGTTCAGTGTCTGACGTTTGTAAACGTCCATGTTGTATACTTGTTTGCAGAGCACTATACGCTTGCGTTAAATCCAAGTATCCTGCTGAATATCCTTGGCGTAATCTATTCCTTAATCTGTTTGCAAATTCTCCTTCTAATATATCACAAGCTATATTAATAACAGCACAAACACCATCTATGCTCCAACTTGATATAGAACGTCTAAATACATAATACAAATTTATGTTATACAATATATACAAATTTATATTTACTCGTTAATAATTGTTAGATTATAAATCTAAATAGTACCTTATACATTTTTTTACTATAAAAAACACATCGTCCACCATACTAGATATCTGCTGATCTTGTTCTAATGTGTCCATACCAACAGCTTTATTGACACTTTCTTCCAAGAAATATCTTTCTAAAGCAAGATAAGCACCTATAAGTTCTTGCATATTATGAGCTAATTCAGAATTGCAGATATTTCTTTCAAATTCATTTAATTGATCCGTACATTGTGTAGCATTCGTAGTACTAATTTCTATGTCATTCTAAAAAGAAAAAATAATTAAATACTTATGATTTTATTCGTGTGCATAAAAAAGACTCACCTTAACTCTTCTTCTTAAGAAACGAATATATAATTCTGCCCTTGAGTGCATTATAGTGATTTCACCTAATAAGAGATCGAGCTCTTTAGGGTCAATTCTTTCTGAATTTGGCTTTCTGACATATTCATTTATCATTTGCACTTTCTTAGATATACTCCTGTGTTTCATAAATTCTGCAACAATTTTTTTAACTTGCCTATATAATAACATATACATATCAGTTTAATCAAAACAAAGATATTCATTATATGTATAAATATCCAAATTTAACTTTCATTTTACCTATCACATTCTTTTTGTAATATAGATACAGTCATTAGAAGTCTTCCAGGTCCATAATATGTTTCTATAATAGGTTGATGTACCTCGACAATACGAGCAATTCCTTCAAATAATAATGTCATAGTATCGGCAAATATAACTGATGCTCGTTTATCATTACTTTTTATCTCCAAGGCAGCTTTTAAATTTTTTTGTGCGGTGTCATGAAGCTAAAAAATAGAAAAAATTTGTATGAGTATAATAAATATATTCATTGATATAGTCACGAATGATAAAATAATTACCTTCGTACACAAATAACTACAAAATTTTTTCAAACCTTCTAAATGCATTCCTAATAATGGAAATATTTTAAAGAATCTTTCAACAGATGCTAGATCTTCAGATTTCACTGCTTCATCAAATTTGTGAGTAACTACTGTTCTCAGTTGTACAGCTGCTTGTTGCAATGTAAAAAGAGAGCTACTAATAGTACTAGGATCTCCTGATACATCTTCGGCTGTTCTTTCAAGCAATTGTTGATCCATTGACAGATACCGATGAACATGTGCAGCACCTTGCTCATAATCTTCATTTTGTAAAGCTGTTGCAACACCTTCGCTACATAATTGTAGATCTAGTATATCGTTAACTCTTCTTTGACATTCGCATACTCTGCTCTATAAAGAAAATATTTTATAGTTACATTTTTCTTTACAATTTTAATCATGATATCAGTTAATTCTTTTTACTTACCCTCGCTAAATCTAACTGTCGTACTTTGGAGCTTACATTTTCAGCCAATTCGTTTGTATGTACAATCATATTCCGAAATTTCTCTGCCTCGCCACGAATAAAAACAACCTTGGGTAATACTTTATTTATATTTTGTAATTTAGATTCTATATAACAATGTCTAGACAATAAGTTGTCTAATTTTTCTTTCACAATTATCTAAAATAAATTGTTCAAATTGTTACTAAATAATAAATATATTAATTTATTATAATAAAACAATGTTTTAACCTCATTTTCTGACAGCTTATTAAGCATTTGCTGAATATTATTCTCTTCTATTGGCACACTCATCTTATTCACAAATTATTAAACCATTTATACAATAATAAACGAAAATTAAAATCTGTTAAAAAAAATTCATTTATATACGTGGTATCTTTCTTGTCAGTAAATGTGAAATAATTCTCATAAAGTCCATACTTACCGATGGAGAAAAGATCAATGCTAGGTCGATAAGAAAGATAAATGTGATAGATCATTTTTTATTCATGATATTGATGTCTAATAATTCTTTTTACAAATTTTTTTTCTGCGTATTATCCATTACAAAGTTCGAATAATATGATTGATGTGTTTGAGAAATTCTATAATCATTAATAAAGCGCAACTTGTAAATTACAACTGTGTAAGTGTTATACTTATGTCTCAAAGAAGTAAAGTAATACAACTGTATAAAACGGTAAGAGTACTTTTTGAATCATTCTTGAAATTTTTATATATATGTATATCTTTATAATTACTTATTATTTATTTTCCTTTTTTATTGCAGCTTTTGTATATGGGGCGTGATTATCCAAAAGGTTATGAATATTTCAGAGTGAGATTGAAAAAAGCTTTTGATAAGAATAAAGAAGAACGTAATCCTGAGAAAATAGATAAAATGATAGCACATGGTAATTTTGTTATTAAAGAATTGGAAGCTTTATATATGCTACGCAAGTACAGAGCATTAAAAAATAGATATTATAATCAACCCTAACCAAAATTAAAACTATTATAAATATTATTGTGTACTATATTATATTCTTCTATATTCATTATTAGTCATATTATGTAAATGTATATATATATAATATATTTGTTATTTTAATACTATTTTACAATGTAGTGTAAATAAACATGATCAATTCATTATAACTTTATTTTACTTGTATATGATATAAAATTATATTGTAAATATTATTTTTAATATTATATTATAAAATTTATAATAGTATATAATAAAGTATCTTTAAATCCATTTAAAAAAAGATTATTATGTAAAGTTGTTTATTCAGTAACTTTATCCTCGCCATAAGCGTCAGTCTAATTGCAAAAAAAAACTAAAGATTGTGCAGCAGTTGTTTGGTTATGCTGTCAAAGAAGATAGAAATGTTCCTTTTTTTATAAATTATACTTTATATGAATACGTCAATGCATAATAAGTATTTAAAATCAAAAAAATGATAATATTAAATGTGTAACTTGTTCATATATTTTTTATGAGAAATATGCATATTAATTTGTGTTATATATTATAGTCAAGGAGTGGAAAGCGTATCCTACGTTTGTGAAAATCTCGAAACATTCAATTTTTATAGTTTCGTATAAAAAGTTCAAAAAAAAAAAATTATTTTTTACATTATTTAGATAAAATTGAATATTTTCCATATTATAATATATATTTATATATTCCTTATCATGGCTGTATGTGTGGCTGTTATTGGAAAAGATGCGAGTATTTATTTACTTTGGATTTATAGGTTATAAAAGAATAGTGTTTTTATAAAATATTATTTTTTTTTATGTGAGAATAAGTTAATTAATTATTTATTTTATCATAAGGATTTTTCTATTTTATAAAGTCTAATTTTTCTGTGAAGATTTTCGTAATATTTAATTTTGTATTTATATTTTTATAGAATTCTCCCAAATATATAAAATGTGCAGATGAGGCTCTTGCCTTGCAATTTCATTACAAAGTGCATACATCTATTGATATTATAGAAGAGAAATTGAATATAGGAAACAAAACAGCTGTTGATATTCGTGATTTGTATTTAGGTTTATTACTTACAACAGAGGAGTTTAAAATGTATGTATTTAATTTTATTATATATAGAATCAAATAGATCATTAGTAATGAGAAGTTTTATTTTAGTTACGGTTATGCAACGAATACAAAAATTAAATTTGTAATAGTATTACAATCATCTAATATATCATTCCGAGATAATGAAGTAAAGACGGTAACAAAATTACATTATTTTGTAAAGTAGTATTATTATGCATTAAATGTAAAATCATTTGTTAATTGTCCCACAGATATTTAAAAAACTGCATACTGCCTATTCCAATGCAGTTTGTAATCCATTTTATGTACCAGGTAGTTCGATTAATTCGAAGTAAGATTCTTTATATTTTTTTGTCCTTATTAATTATATTGATTTATATAATATATAATCATAACATTAAAGTTTTAATTTTTTACTAATATATATAAATATATATATTTATAAATTATGTTCTTTAGGTCTTTCGATTCATCTGTGACAGAGATAATGGGAATTATATAAACTTATATATTCTTTTACTGAAAAATTACTTTAGTAATATTATTGAATCATTCTTCAACTCTTTTAATTATAAATACAATATATGTTCAAATGTAAAGAAGAAATATCATGAAACAACATTAAGCAGCGTATTTTTTATTCGTTAATTCAATTGAACTACACAATACATAAATTAACTTATCAATTATATATATATATATTTTAGCAAATTATAAATCACTTTTTATGTCCAAAACAAGATTCATTACGAAAGAGTAATATATTAAAGTTGTTTACTCAATGTTGCTACTTTGAATACATTATTTATTAGTAAAAAATTAACTATGATATTATAAGATATTTATTGTACAATTATATCCAGAAATGCAACATTAAGTAAGCAACATTCAAATAATAACAAAAATAATGTGTAGTACATACACTGTTATACATACATTCTATTGTCATCATCATCATTATATTGAACATCTTATAACATTATATAAAATATTTCTATAAAAATATAATTGTATTTCAATTATACTGAATTTATGCTGAAATAGCATAAAATAATTTAAGTTAAAGATTATTATATTAACATTTTTTTACTAATTAATGTCAATTTAAGTTAAATATTTAAATAAAAGATCATTATTCTTATATACAATAAATTTTGTTGTTTTTCATAATATGATGTCTATAATTAATACTTAAAATCAATTATCAATTATATTTGTGATCAATATATTAAAAATTTATCAAATAACAGTATAAAAATAAAAGTAAAATATCTATGTGACATTTTTTATGTAACTGATACAATAATTCATTATTACTTTGCTATTACAATGTAAAAGGCATCGATGATTGCTCTTTACGTTGTAAAAATGATGTTCTTGACAATAAAATTTGATTTTTGTCAGATAATAAAGGTGCACTTTCTGAATATCTTGAGTTCTGCCAATAATCACTACTGGTGCCACTTTTATTAGATTTGATAGTGAATATTCCTGTAGATCCATGTTTAGTCTGTATGTATGGATACTTCTTTATCCTTGTTTTATCTTCATGTAGTCCATAATCAGGTCGAGTAGTTGTTACAAAAGATGATGATAGTAGGTTACCCTTTGTCATTCCTATTGAATAATAAACCTATTGGAATATAAATGCATACACTTTTGGTTCAATATCATATAAGAAAATGAAAATAAAATAAATATATAATATATATTTATATTTCAAGAACAAGATATTTGTCAAAACAATGGCAAATAAAAGAAGCATATTTTTATAAAATATTTCATTCATTTAGTTTTTAAATACGTATTAATTAACTTCATATTATTATTTCGATTAAAAAAGTGCCAGCCTTATATATACTTATTAAATAAAACGAAGTGCCTTTAAATTGGATGATATTCTTTTCTGAAGCAACAGTGTATGCTATGCTTAAATCCTTGAGTTAAGATTAATTAGATATTGCGCACGTGGATTTCTATTTATAAATAAACTACGATAACTACTACTTATTAATTAAGTCATTAAATTAACAAATAAACAAACAATCTGATACAATACAATAAATAAATATAATTAAAGGGCAGCATTTTGTACGCATATATTGTTATGATTTACGTGGATAATTAATCCAGAAATATTGACGATACATTATCTATCACAGTCTACTGTCAAGATACATGGTTTTCAAGCTGACAATATTCTGGATAATTGACATAAAAGATTATTTGTTATTTTCATTTAAAATCGAACTATTTCATTAAATATTTTCGCTACGCCTTGAAATTGTACGAATTAACGATTAATTAATGCTGTTCCTATGTTTTCTATTGAAAACAAATTCGTGTTAAATTACTTTTTTTTTTTTTTACATATGTCAGCTTTTAATAATTATTATCAACTATTTTTGCTAAACTAGAGTTTCGATAAAAGCAACAGAAAACGCTAGATTTTTGCACAGAATAATATATTCATAAAATGCCTTATTACTTGTCACGCTGAATACCGTTGATTTGATAATACATGAATACTTGTTTTACCGACCATTTTGACATGTTGATTTTGCCGTTGGATCTTCGGTAATTGAATCAGCATCATTTTCACTATCTGTTTCCTTAACACATTTTATTAAAAACATAGTTAATGCCCCAATTATTGGCGGTATTCCAGCCAATAAGAAAGGCAAATCGTAGGAACCTATATAATAAAATGAAACACGTTAAAATAAGCAAGCATACATAGAATATAAATGAATTAATAATGAAATATTGTTGTAAACGTAAAGGATAATAAGTTCATTAACTTACCGGTATGATCGTATAAAAGACCCGCGATTGGTGGTCCTACTGTCAAAGGTATAGAACACATTCCTAATAAAAATCCAATTGCTTGAGTTGCACCCTCACGACCACAAATGTCGAAAGCAATTGGACCTAATAATGATATGAAACATCCATCAAATAATCCCATACTTAAAGAAATGAGTAGTAGAATATTAAAAGATGGTGTTACGGTAAGTAACATTGTAAGCATACCGATGCTTAGAAATGATACCTAAAAAAAACATATGAATTTTATTTTTTATTTCTGTTTCTTATTTATGCACATATTATTTACATTTATTATGATAGAAAAATATTACCTGCTGTAATAATATTCTATTTACTTTTGGCAAATCGGCAATATAACCGAATATTAATCGACCTATTCCAGAAGTAATACCAATACACATAACTGGCAATTTTCCATCAGAGCCTTTAAATATTGTAACTACAAATTTTCCGATATGTACGTATGGTACAAAATATCTAAAATATAAAAAGTGATGTTAAAAAATATGAAATTTTACTTTAATGATTATTTAGTATTATTTAGCATTATAAATAATTAAACAATACCCAAATAAAGCCAGCGGAATAGAAACTGCCCAGACAACGTATCGTTTTTTTTTCCATATAGATACATTGATAACTTCCTTCAAACAATCTCGAAATTTCGTAGTTTGCGTTGTTCGATATCGTGGAGATTTTTTAACTGTAAAAAAGAAAAATTTTATATTGATATCTTTTCATTTGAACAAATTTTTCAAATTTTAGCGTAATTTTCTACTCACGTGGTATCGGTTTAAAAAGTAGCGCGCAAGCCATAATAATTGCAGTTAACGCTGCTAAACTTCGAAACGTTCCTTCTAATCCGAAATTTCGTAAAAGGGCATCCATCAGATATGGTAAAAGTGTTGTAAATATAGAACTACCAGCCGTAACTATACCATTTACTAATCCCAGATATTTTTTAAAATAATGTCCTAAAATAACTAAGCTCGGGGTGTAAGCAAGACTTGCACCGAGTCCATACATGACACCATAAGTCAGATACAATAATTCTACCTAAAGCAAAAAATCATAGAATTTTTTAAATAGAATTTAAATTCATTAGGAATTATTTTAACGAAAAAAAAGTACCTTATCAGAAAGCATCGAAGAAAGAAGCATACCACTTGATGCAATTGCACCTCCTAAAAATGTAGTCATCTGAATACCAATTTTATCGGTGAGAATACCAGCGATTGGCGATAGGAAAAATGTCGTACCGATGGTCAATGATCCAACTAAAGCTGTTTAATATAAAAAATAAAATAAAAGGAAACGTATTTGTAAAATATTTTAAAATCAGTTTACAACGTTAATTTTTATAATGACGAAATAAATGTACCAAGTGAATGAAGCAAACCTAAAGTGTTCACATGCACACTGTAGGAGCGTGTCAATATTATATTCTGATTGGTCAAAACGAGCTCTATCCTTTTCTTATTCAATTCGCGGATCTCTATTCAACTTACAGAACTGCAATATATGTATGGACCGAGCAAAATATATAGATACTTTCACACCTTATACGAATGTACGTACATATATATATAGATACATGCATACATAGATCAGTTTACAAGAATATCGTTTTGTTTCCATTCTGATCGTTATCAAACAAAATTTAAAATTATTTCTAATCAACTAATCGTCTTAGGACGATTGGTCTTAAAGTTTTCATAAAGATTCAGGTCAGATCAGTTATGACATACGGAGAAGCTACCATTGAATTGCAATCCCTTAACTATGATTACTATGATTAATCAAGCTATAATTGACTGTTAATTTAGATGCATGTTATTTGGGACATCAACTGTAAAAGGGGATTGATCTCATCAACGATTTAATTGAAATATTGATTAAGTAAATGTTTGAAGAAAAGTTTAACTCTACTTTTTCAAAAAAAAAAAAAAAAAATTTAATTATTATTTATGGCATATTTTATCAATATTCATTTGCACATTTTATGCTACTAATATATATTATTTAGAAAAAAATATCTTTTATCGGAACTAAGTATAATGAAAAAAACAACAAATGCCGTTATAAGTTTGTTTTTCAAGCTCATTAAAATCCTACATAATAATTTAAAAAAAAATAATTATCTTTAACGACGCACGATGCGTTTACTGATAATATTACAGTGACGTGAAGAAAATGAAAATAAAAAATTCTTGGAGATGAGAAGTGAGTAATTTATCGTCGAAAAAAATTATACCTTATTATTATTATTATACGGACATTTGCTATCAGAGAAGGAACAATAAAATGTTAAAAATGATTTGATAGTGTCGATCATTGAACCGTCATGCTTTTATCAGGTCTTAATATAACGATTAAATGGAATATATGCAAAGAAGAGAGAGAAAGACTTGGAAAGATGAGTCGTCAATTTGGAAGGTAATTGTAATAAAATAATATAAATTAGATAATGATCTTACATGCTTTAGAAGATACTTCCGTCTCTCCGGCTTCCGTCAATTTTTTTTGTAGTTCGAGGTAAATTAAAGAGTAGGTGTTGATAACGCTAAATAAAATACCATTGATAAAGAAACTACTCAACAAGATCATCCAAGCTCTGATACCACCATCAGGTGGAATATGATTATCAGTATTATTAGCTTCCACATCTTCTTGCCAATTTGTTTTTACAAGCGATTCCTCGTTTTCGTTCTTCTTTGATCTATTTGATTTAGAATCGTTAGATGTATTTAATTTTGGTTCTTCTTCCGATGATATGAGTTTCGCCTCAGAACTAGGCTCAACGAATTCATTCGAATTTCCCTGAACATTTGTAGCCTCCAATGACTCTTCGGTGTTCGTAAATTTTGGTTTAGTTTGACCATATTCTTGTTCAAGAGAGTTATTACTTAAAACGTAAAGATTAGCGTTACGTTTATCTTGAACATTATCCGTAACTGTCATTTTTGATGGTATTAGAAACAATTTGGAATTTTACAAACCTATAAAACATTACATAAAAAATTATCTTTAAAATACAATAATGGTTTGTAAATAGTTTTTATTTCAAATTTGCTAATACATATTCCGGAAATACTAATATTCATTCAAATAATAACAAGAATACATTGTATCATCTCAAACTGAAAGCATTATACTACCGTTGGTAGTAACGCAACAGGTAGACTGTTCTTGCATCATCTCAAAATAAATAACGAAGAGTAGACTGCGGTGAATTAAACCAAAGCGTCGCTGTTCTCTGATTTCAAAAAATACTAACTTAATAAATCTTATGCTTACATTTTAAGGAATGTTCTTATGTCTTCATATTTTATGCAATCCGAATTTGATATCAATTTTGTTACTTAATACGATAATTTCATTAAAAAAAAAAAAAAAAGTAAAAAGCCTCTCGACGAGAAATGTTTTAAATTTCTAGAAAAAAGTGCTGAAATATTAAATATTAATGTAGAGGAATGTCTTATCAGTACATTTATTTTTTCGGAATTTTCCAATTTTCAAATCGAATTATTCAACAATAAATACCCAATGAATTTTGTTTAATTATAGGATACAGTATATAACTTGACTGTGATTATTAGCCATAAGAAAATGACACCTAATTGAATAAAGCGACCGTTCGTCCAACAAAATTGATTATTAGCATTAACAAAGATAACGCTTCCTTCTAATATTACCATACGCGTTTAGTTTAATGGCATCTTACATGTTGAGCCAGCCGTATTTATATTTCGAATGCAGTTTCATCGTAACGATCCAACCGTTTTACATACTGCAATTACTCTACTCGCATATCTTCCTACATCGTTAACTACGTGAGTCCAAAGCAAGTAGAATTCAAATGATTGGCGCGAACTTTGCATGTGTTTTACAAACTCTATCATCCTAAAGATATAAAAGATTAATTTCATATACGTTCAATGTATCCTAATAACACATCATACATCTTGGTATATCCTGATGATATCAATCAAAACCCTTTTAGGATCTTACAAAATAGAGTCTGATAGTTGAGGGAATAAAAGGTCGTACTCGGAACACGTTATTAGGGTTACAAAAGCGCTTTTGTTTTTCGATTCATTCGCAAATTGTACCGGTGAAAGCCTTTACTTCCTCGACAAATGGGAAGCAAAGTATAAAAGAGAACTTTTATTACTAATGTTAAATGGAATTTCTTACGAGTCGTACTATCTACGAAAGGTACTAACGATCTTTGATCCCAAATATTTTGAATTTCGGTAAGATTTCAATCAACAATTGTATCAACTTGTGCTAAATATAAGACTTACGTAATCATGGAACTCTTTAAATAAAAAGGAACAAAAGAAATATAAAAGAAAATGGACGCGAGTTAGTGACAAATATACATGTTAGGAATATCATCGCCATTGATACATATTAGGTCTTTGCAGCCGTATGATTTATCTCAAAAGAATACAACTTTTTTTTTGAATAAAATTGATAATATTTGAAAGTAGATCATTTAGAAACGACATAATAAATAAGTGCCATGAATATATAAAATGAATATATAAGAGCTTACTATATTAACGCGCTTTGATCTATCTCCTAATTATCAAATGTATGATTTTATTTGTATCAATGCGTCGCGTAGCTTTGTAATATTGTCGTTACATTAAACTGATCTCAACTCTGACATTAATTGAAGTTCGAATCGAACGGGTCACGCGAATGAAATATCGCTGTCTCTTCTTAAGAAATCAGTTAACCTTTTTTTTATTAGTATATTGCTCATCACATTTCCTACGTATTGTTCGGAATGCAAAAGTGACAATGATTTATAAATATACATATAAATGTAAAACTGGCAAAAATTCAAGCACAAAATTGTACAGAAAACAACATTTTTCTGAGACAATTCGATTTTATAATGTATTTTGTTGATCTTATTAAATCAATTAATTGAATTATATTCTAAAGTATTATGAACAAATTGTAACTTTGATATATTTCTCGTAATAATTGTATATAATAAAAATAAAAATAAAAATTATTAGAGTCTAATAATTAAAAGTAAAGAAGAATACGAAAGAGTATCGATCGTTATATCGAACGATAGTTCGAATAATTTTTCATTGAAGTAACTTCAATATTTGTTGACATATCAATTTTAAATAAATATATTTTTGAATGTCTTGGAAAAAGAACATATTTTAAAAAATTAAATAAAACACGCGGTATAGTCTAGAAAACTTAGGAAACCATAAATTTAATATCTAATCTGTCTACATAAACGAGCGAACAATATAAAATGAAAAGGGAAAATAAAAAAAAATATTAAATATGAAATATATATATATAATGAAAAAGTTAAGTTATTTTAAATCAATGGAATTGTTAGATTTTTTCTTTGTATAGTGTTCACGACGTAAGAACATCGTTCGAATATCCTCAAGCAAGTTCCAACATAGATCTATCCTAATCTTTGTCAACTCTGTCACTTAAGCGATAAAGCAGGGTACGTGAAGCGATGATGATGGACGATGATTCATCATCGAAAAGTGCGTCGCCGAAATGCTTCTAATATAAATTCGTATATTCGCGGGTATCGCTCATTCATCTTTTCATCTATCTATCTATTTATCTATTTATTTATCTATTCATTTATCCATCGTTAGGAACGCATTGAAATAAGAAAATTGAAACGATGGTTTTTGAAACTATCACTATAAGTGATAATGGTTGATAAAATTAAAAGAAAAAGAAAGAGTAGGAGGAAGTGAGAAAGAGAAAGAGAGAGAGACAGACAGAAATAGTAGAAGAAGAGAAGAATAAGCAAAAAAGAGAAGGAAGGCAATAAGAAAGAAAGGGAAAAATAAAAAATAAAAAAATAATAGAAAAAGAAAGGGAAGGTGTAAGTGAGAGAGAGAAAGAGAGAGAGACAGACAGAAATAGTAGAAGGAGAGAAGAATAAGCAAAAAAGAGAAGGAAGGCAATAAGAAAGAAAGGGGAAAATAAAAAATAAAAAAATAATAGAAAAAGAAAGGGAAGGTGTAAGTGAGAGAGAGAAAGAGAGAGAGAGAGAGACAGACAGAAATAGTAGAAGAAGAGAAGAATAAGCAAAAAAGAGAAAGGAGAGAAGGAAGACAATAAGTAAGAAAGGGCAATAAGAAATAAAAAATAAAATAATAAGTAATTACGTTATCAATTACTGGAAGTGTCCGCTATTGTACTGCTACTGATTCTCCGGCGAGGATATGAAAACGTGTGAGAAACCTCGTGGGTGTCACGGGCGCCTCGTGGGAGGACTTAGGGTAACGATATTTTTTGAAAGAATCAATAAAAATACAACAACCCACTTATAATAAAACCATCCGAGCGCACTGCCGGACGCAAACTAAGTCTTGAACGTTGACCACGAGCCTTGGGCAGCCCGCGCGAACGAAATGATTCCGAGTTCAGCCGATCCTATCAACCCGAACTATGACGAAGCCTATACTGACATGAGCCTATAAATCGTCACTTTGAACTTTCACGTGCGCTCACTCATCGAACAAAACTAACTGAACGAGTCCAACGAATGAAACGTACAAGTAAATAAGATAGTCCGATATTAGTGATGTTTTTATATAGACCGATTTTATTGGTCTTTATTTTACTTATCTACCTATATATTATCTATTCTTTATTATATTTCGTGATCTTTAACCTTATTTATCTTATATTAGATATAATAATGCTTTCATTTCCTATGTTTTTAACACAATATATTTTATTGTTGTTCATATATAATTGAAAACTTAATTCCTAATTACTGAGAAATTTGAATCAATAGTTAGAAATTCTTCCCCTTCTTCCTATAACTCTGAACACCTGCATTTTATCAACTTCCGCCAATAATACTTTCCGCCTGATCAGTAAAATAACATTTAATTGGTTATACATGTGTATTTTAAATAATGCCGCGTTTTTCTATCGCGATATTTTTCTAACGATTCACCTGATTGGTGGTTTTGATTTATCCCGCGAATATCATCAATTTAAAAGAATAAATAAAAGTTTTTATTTAATTATTGATATATTACCTTAATTATATTTTATTTTTCCTTGTCATTGAATTCTATTTTTATGTGAGGTCCTTCCTTTTCTTTCTCTGTTTAACATCTTACATTCGCTGGTTCGGTTCGCTCATTACTATATAAAAAAAAAAAAACACAATCGTAAATGTTTAAATTTTATACGGGGAGGGAAAAGTGAAATAAAAAAAAATGAAAAAATTATTGTAAGATTAATTGCGAATAAATAAATAAATAACTAGATAAATGAAAGACAAATAACAGCGACTATTATTTCTATTATGCATATGAATGTCTGTCATCCTACTTAATAAATATATGTTCGAAAATATGTTTTTTTTTTAAATATGTATCAGCTAAAAATTATATTTATTATTATCTATTAATATTAATTATATCAATATATTTAAATATTAGGATGACAAGTTCTACTAAAAGATCAATCATAATTTAATTATAAATTTAATAAGCATTATATTTGAAATTCATAAAAGAGATATGCGTTTGTAAGAATAATTTAATTTCAATAATAATTTATGACATCTTTCAACCTGAGATTGACACCAATGATTCTTCCATGTTATCTTCTTTCGTTATCCAACAATGTCATGGAAGAATAATAGACTATAATATAAAATTAAAATTCCAATGTATATCACTTTTTCATATCTTCTAACCATTCATCCATAGTGTCATTATCAGCAGTGAATCTACAGTAGAGACAAAAATGAGGTATGATGTGATTAACAAAATAATATTTATATCAAGGATGAGAAGACGTGACCTAATATAAATGTTAAGGTTATAAGGAAATCAACAACTTGTAATCAAACGAATTTACACACTTTTTGAATGACCCATTTAAGGAATTTAACTTCACGTAACAATTATATTTAAATACACCATATTCATAAGCCATTATTGATTATTAATCCTTTAAACAATTAATATTTTTAATCAACGATATATTCTCCACCCAAAATAGAATAATACTACTATATTAGGTGGACCGGAAAATAATGTCGTTTCTACATATGTCAAATTTTGTATATTTTTATCAAAAACCGATTGATTTTTATCAATTTGATATTAAAAATTTGCATACTAGATGAAGAAAGGTTGTTCATAACAAAGTTGATTATATTATTGATTAAAAATATAAATTTGTTAGAAATTTATTCGTGTGAATGTAAGGTTAGAAAGCGACGTTACTTTCCGGTCCACCTAATATATGCTTCTACAATAAATAGGGGTAAGTAGGAATTTAATCCGGGGGTAAATTATCATCTTGAAATTTATCTTTCTTTTAAATAATTAATATTTTTTTATTGAAAAAAAATATTGGATTGAATATCGAAGAAATTTTAAAAGCCCTTGGATTTTATTTTTGTTTAAGTTAATAATAAAATATAATATTTTCAATACCTTTGAAAATTAAGAATGGAATTTAACAAGTTTTACGCCATCTTTTATCAATATTAAGAAACACTACGTCTTTACGAATCTGTAATATATATCCACGTATAATTAATTAATATTTATATTTTAATTTATTATAATTGTATAATAAAATTAAACTATTTTATTTTATTGTATAATTTTATTTAAATTTGTATTATTTGTCTAAATTAATTCCACCAATAAAAAACATTTCTGAAGTTGTCCATAAAAGGAAATAAAAAAAGGAATGGCCGTCGTTGATGACCATCATTCTATTCTCTATCACACGCGGAACCTACAAAAGTATTAATCAATTGAAATATTCTGACGAACAAGAAAATAAAAAAATTATTTAAAAATGTCGACAATGGCAAGTCCTTTAGCTGTGGGAGGTGTGAGGCAATCAGGTGCTCCTGTAAGGACACAAAATGGTAATATAATAACAGACAAATGTGTAGTCAAAAGTTTGGTTATGCCGGACTATCTGTAATACAGTAGACTCTATAAAATATTATGATTATTGTTTTCATGCAACAGGATTCCTGGTTTAACACTCTATATAATAAAATACAAAATAATTTGTAGTATTTGAAAATTAAATTTCCTTTAATTGAGAATTGCATTGTTGTCCTCGTTGCTACCAATTTCTTCTGTTTCGTAATTATTCTTTTTATTTTTGATCAATATATTATTTATAGTCTATTGTATGGGAACAAATTATAGTAAATAATATTGTAATTATTAGTTTAATTGTTAGTTTACTTCTGCATAATTTTTATTTTTTATTCAACAGTTATGGCTGCTTCGGCTATTGCTAACATAGTCAAAAGTTCTTTAGGACCTGTAGGATTGGATAAAATGTTGGTCGATGATATTGGGGTACGTTTTATTAATTTAATTTAAATTCTAATATTTATTAATATTATGACACATCTTAGTAAAATATTAAAATAAACAATTTAAGGATGTAACTGTTACAAATGACGGAGCAACTATTTTACGTCTATTGGAAGTTGAACATCCTGCAGCTAGAGTACTAGTCGAGTTAGCTCAATTACAGGATGAAGAAGTTGGAGATGGCACAACATCTGTTGTCATTGTTGCAGCTGAATTATTAAAAAATGCAGATGAGCTTGTTAAGCAGAAAATTCATCCAACCTCTGTTATCAGTGGTTATAGGCTTGCTTGCAAGTACGCGATACGACAGAAATGTCATTTATTTTCATGTGTAAATTGATATAGTAATTATTGTTCAATTATGATTTTAGGGAAGCCTGCAAATACATACAGGAACATTTAACAATCAATGTCGATGAATTGGGAAAAGATTGCTTGGTCAATGTAGCTAAAACCTCAATGTCTAGTAAAATTATAGGAGCGTATCCTTTCCAATTTAAAGCAGTGAGCAAATAAACATTTGTTGATAAAGATATTTTTCTTGTAAAAAAAACATATGTACAAAAATGTTTATTTAATCACTAAATATTAGTATGAATTTTCTTTATATTATAATTTCCATGACTAATAAATAGTGATGCTAATTTCTTCGGCAATATGGTCGTTGATGCTGCTTATGCTATCAAGATAAATGATGGTAAAGGTGGACATCTATATCCTATTAAAGCAGTTAATGTTTTAAAGGCTCATGGCAAAAGTGTTAGAGAATCTGTTCTTGTACATGGTTATGCACTTAATTGTACGGTGTCTTCACAAGCAATGCCTAAGAGGATAGTCAATCCCAAGATTGCTTGCTTGGACTTTTCTCTACAAAAAGCTAAAATGAAGTTAGGTGTGGAAGTACTTATCACTGATCCTGAAAAATTAGAGGCCGTACGCCAACGAGAAATTGATATTACTAAAGAAAGAGTTCAGAAAATTTTAAATGCCGGCGCTAATGTTATTCTTCTATCTGGTGGAATAGATGATCTTTGCCAGAAGGTTTGTTAGACATTTAATAAAAGTACAAAATTACGATGTAATTCTAAACCGTTACTTTTTTTTCAGTACTTTGTAGAAGCTAAGGCTATGGCAGTACGTAGATGCAAGAAACAAGATCTAAAAAGAATTGCTAAAGCTACAGGGGCACAATTTTTAACTTCTTTGACTAATATGGAAGGAGAGGAAACCTTTGAACCAAGTTTCCTTGGTGAAGCTGCTGAAGTGGTACAGGAAATGATCTGTGACGATGAGCTCATTCTTATAAAAGGGTCAGTTTACAGATTTATTATAAAATGAAAGTAAAAATGACAATTTATGATATTTCATTTTGTTAATAGACCAAAAGCTCGTACAGCTAGCTCTATCATTTTACGTGGACCAAATGATTATTATTGTGACGAAATGGAGCGTTCTGTACACGATGCTCTTTGTGTTGTGAAGCGTGTATTAGAGAGTAAAAGTGTTGTCGCTGGTGGTGGTAGCGTTGAAGCTGCTCTTTCGATTTATTTGGAAAACTTTGCTACTTCTTTAGTAAGTATTTTTTATTTAATTAATTGTTATTAACATTGTCATTATAATGTCATTCTTCATTTTGCAGAGTTCTCGCGAACAATTAGCCATTGCTGAATTTGCCAGATCACTTTTAATAATACCTAAAACATTAGCTGTTAATGCTGCTCAAGATGCAACTGATCTTGTTGCCAAGCTGAGAGCTTATCACAATTCAAGCCAAACAAAAGCAGATTTAGCTGAATTAAAATGGTAATAATTAAACATTCTTGATTAATAAATAGGTTTATAATATCACATGATTTATTCACATAAAATTGTATTTATACTATCTAGGGTTGGGCTTGATTTATATGAAGGAACTATAAAGGATAATAAAAAAGTTGGTGTATTGGAACCAGCTATTTCAAAAATAAAATCTTTGAAATTTGCTACAGAAGCAGCGATTACTATACTTCGAATCGATGATATGATTAAATTGGATCCTGAACGATCCAAAGATAAATCGTATCACGATGCAATGGCTGCTGGTGAATTGGATTAATTTAATTGCTTTAATTATTAAATAATTATAAGAAACATTTTCATAGCAAATCTTGTTCAAAATTTTATCATTATACTAATGTGTCTCATGTGTTGATTAAGAACTTTTAATAATATAATTTTTAAGTAATTATCACACATAACATATATATTTACAATTAAATAACGTATTATGTTCGCATTTCATACAATTACTTAATTCTTGTACAAGCGTACTAATTAATAATTATATTAAGGAAAATAAAGCTTTTTCCTACTACATTTTGTAATTTTAATTTAATGATTCATAAAATAGATTTATATATTAATTTTACACATTTTCCATATACATACCTGTTTGCAATTATTTATATACCGTCTCTGATGTCATCTTTAAAGAAGTAATTAAAACATTACCATTAAAAAATCCATTTAAAAATTAAAATATCAATAAATTTTTGTATGTCGACAAATTACTTGACAAATTTCCAAACTTATTTTTCTTGAAAAAGAATTGCATGAACAAATTTTATTTTAAACTTTTAACTTAGTTTCCCATGTAAAATCATCCTCTGCTCGTTTGCATCACCAGTTGCAAAACACTGTATTTTATATATTATAAATAATATAACATAAAAGAGCACTGATAATTGATATTTAATATTATGAAAAAATCATTAAAGAAATATTTTTTTTAGCAGACATTTAATATAATATATGCATTATTAATGAATTATTTACACTACATTATTTGAATCAGGCTGTGGCAGTTGAGTTATACTCAATTTAAAAAATTTTCTTCAGGCATAATTTATGTTTATCCATGAATATTGTGATATTCTTATTTAAATTACAATTTATGTTTATTTACAATGGCATGTTATGATCATATTTAACAAATTAGCATTTATAAGTTGTTTTGGTAAAATATATTTTTTTTTCGTTAAAATATAACATTCTTATAGCACACAAAGTATTAACACAATAAATTAGTAAATAATTTTTATTTCCATTTTTTTTTCTTTCCTCTTTTTCCTCATAATGTCAGTATATTAATTAAACTAAAATGTAACATATTGTTTTTTGTATCTAAAAAATAATATTTCATATAAATCTGTGATAATTATGTTTTGTAGCAATATAATTCTTATACAATACACATGGTTTAGAAAAATAATCTCATCTAAAAAAGAAAATTTTAATATAAAAGTAAAAAGTTAGAATGTTTTGATATTTTTTTTCAATATATAACATTCCAAATTGAACAATATATTTAATTAGACTGACAAAAATTTGAAAACAATTTCAATGATTTTTCGTTACATAGATATGTATATATATATATACATATCATACAAATGTATATATATATATACATATCATACAAATGTATATATATATATACATATCGTATAAATGTATATATGTATATATATACATTTATTTATAAGAAAAATTCTTTTTTAAATAATGAAATTTTTAAGTGTTCTCCTCATTGGTATGTGCTACCGCTAAAAATGTAGAAACTATAATTAAACTTCATATATTTCTTGGTTATTGTTTTGAGCGTTAAGCATTTATATATATATTTCAGAAAAAAATAATTTAATTTTGCAAAACTAATTGAAAAGAAATATTTTCAAAATTTAAGCGAAAATTGGCAAATACTGCAAAAAGTTATTAGCGTTACCACATTTTGCCTTCTTTCTGCATCATTTCCTGGAACTTTGAATCATTGTTTGTAAAGAACGAAGAAGTGCCGATAAGAAATTATAATAAAATGGATTTTATTTAGAATATGAACTTGGATCTCCGTCTTATTTTATATCTCTTTATCAATTGTGTCATTAAGTTTTTCGCAATGCTTTTTTAATGAAAGAAAACGATTAATATAATGATGCTTATTGGCACAATTGATATTTATAAGAGACGACCCAAGTTCGATAAACGCTTTACCTTCTTAAGGCATATTTAATTAACATTTTTGTGAATTTATTATGTACTGTAATTGAAAGATATTTTTTTTCTTTTCTTTTCTCTCATCCAATGATCTACATCATGCAAAGTAATTTCTTCAATTATTTACAAAGTTAAAACATGATTTGTCGAACATTATACACATTTCAAGTTCTCCCAGGATATTACAGAATCTTGACAACATGCTAGATATTTGCATACACTTTTTACAGTTCATCTACACAAAATTGTAGATAATATACTTTTACACCTCTTTTACAGTTTGAGATGACATATTCTTGTCCCTTCATTAGAAGTGTTTTCAGACAAGATGTGTTAATTAAAAGTATATAATACTTTTATAATGCAGGGTTCTCGAATTTTGGTCCTTTAGTTACTATGATTTCAGCATAGGGTTGTTCTTGATTCAATTCTAACACTTGGAATTTTTTCAATACTAAGAGGGTATAGAACTTTTGTGCAGCCTGTAAAAAGAGATAATAATGACACTTTATAAAAAATCTTAATGAAAAATTAAATTAGTAACCATATATATATATTCATGTACATACCTGTTTACGATTATTTTTATATGCCATCTCTGATAGTGATAATTTGTCTTTGGTATCCAGTTTACTTTTAATGACATGATACATATGCGCTGCTCTTTTATTGAGCACACGTTCTTCGAATTGCTCGTAAGTTTCATCAACTTGCTGTTCTTCTTGCTATATACATAAAAAAAAATGAAATTAATGGAATTCTTAAGAAATAAAAAATATAAAACACTTACTGGTCCCACTGATGGAGGAAATTCATAATCTTCATGATTCCATGGTGTCGCTGGTCCTCTTTCAGAAATTGCACCGGGCGTGTGTGCGGGTGGATGCTGTTCATCATAGTTTACGTATGAAACTTGTGATTGAGCCTGTAGACATATATCATTTATCATTATTTTTTTTTATATGATTGAAATATAATAATATAATTTAATAGATTAATGATACTATACCTGATCGTAACCAATATTCTCCATTTGTGGCATTGTAGAAGGTGACATAGTAGGGACTTTAACGGGTGGTGCAGGTGTAGGTGGTACAGCTTCTTCTTCAGCAGCTCCAAGAATGGAGCTAACTTCAGCTGGAGGTATTTGAGGCATTTCTAAACTCATTGAAGGTGTCTCTGGTTGAGTTACCGGAACTTCCGTATTTTCAACTGAAGGTACAATACCACTAATTTCTGGTACAGATGGTTCTGCTGGTAATGATACTTCAGGAGGAACTGGGGATTCGGCAGAAGAAACAGTTTGAGGAGGTATGCTTGGAACTTCAACTGCTTCTGCGGTAATTGAAGGTTGACTAATTTCAACTGCTGGTGTTGGTTGTGGAGGTGCTGGTCGTGGCTATGGAAAAGATAATAAAAGATAAATAAAATATAACAATGAAAACAAGGGGGGAAAGAAAAGTGTAAACAAACCTCTTCTTCTGGTGGAGCTTTTCGTTTGCGAGCCATCCTTTTACTAAGAATACTTTGTTCAAAGGCAGCTGCATCAGGTTCAGTGTTATCTCTCATTTGTTCCAAGGATAATCCTTCTTCTTCTACTCCTAATCTTCCAAAGTCTTCATGATCGTAAGATTTGCTCGTTAAATGTCTTTGATAATTCTAGGTAATACAAATATTTTTCATATATATGTATGTATGTCAACACATAAATTATTATAATTACTCGTTTTATAACAGTTTATCATTTTACCTTAAACAATGAACGAGAAGGTATTGCCCTTCCTGGTAAAGCAAAGAGTTTCTCTACTCCACCAGTTTCTTTCCAATGCATCAAACGTTTTGTTGGCGGTGCTAAATCTAACGTTGTTACGATGTCACTAGTATCAGAAAGTTGTGCTTTCATTTCTTCTCCAGAAATATTTTTTACTTCATCCACGATGAGTTTACGTTTTCTTTTAGCTTTTGTAAATCCTATAATAAAATATAATTAATATATATTCAATATATAATACTAAATAATAAATTATTTATTTTATTATTATTAACCTTTGAGTGCTGAAGCATCTACAGGTGCAAGAGCAAAGCTCTCCTCTTCGTCATGCAATAATGTAGTCTGATCTTGCATAGGTTGTGGTTCTTCTGCTATATCCATTGGATGTTCTTCAGGAGCAGTTGGAGGAGCAGGTGTAAAACGTCGACTGGCAACACTAATTCTTCCTTCAATTTCCTCTCCTATTGCTGCTGGAGTAGCTGGTCTTGAACCATCAGAACTAAAAGAAAAACATTCATTATTTTAAGTATTCATTATTAGATAATCTATAATAAACAAGTACCTCATTGCTCCCATTGGAGATGCAGCTGGCCCAAAATGATCACCCATATCTTCCTCAGATTCATCATGAACAGAAGCTGCAGTTCCTGGTGCTGCTACAGCTTCTTGTTGTTCTGCGATTGAACTAACTTCAGGTACAGGAACTTCACCCATTGGAGCTTCATCGAATAATCCTCCTTCAAAGAGGCCTCCAGCTATAAACAATTTTATTTGATAATCATGCTAATATTTAATTTTATGAAAAATTAGAATGCATACATATAATATCTTGACCAAGATGACCACCAAAACCATCATCTCTAATTGGGGTGTCTATATCCATAGGTTGGGGAGCTGCCGATGTTCCTGCAACTGGTTCTTTCTCTTTTTGTTCCAGCGCTGTTTCTATACCTGGCCCATCACTGAATAGCATATGACTCTAGATTTGATTTAATTTATTTCATTATATAGAGAAACGAAAATTTATGATAAATAAATACTATATAATATATAATTTTATTATTATTATAAAAATGAATAGTAAACCTGATCTAAAGATGGTTCTATAGTGCCAGCGTGACGAAGTAATTCAGGCGGCTCTGCATCAAAACTCATATCTCCAAATCCTTGATCATGTGTTACTAAAGAAAGACTACCGTAATCTTCTCTCATTGTAATTTCTTCTGCTCTAGATTGATTTAAACTAAATTGTGCCTCAATATCAACATCTCTAAAAAATATAATGATATAAATGATGTAGAAATGGTATGCATATTAATATTCGCTTAGGTGTGATGTTAACATTTACTTCAATTCAGGCATAGCAGTATCAAAATCATGAAACACTTCTGGTAATGTAATAGCTGTAACAGCTGCTTCTCTATGTTCTTCAGGTAAATCGACCATTCCTGGCCGAAATGCCATTTTAATTTTAACAAAAGCTTCATTACAATCTGCAAGCAAATATTTTGCTTTGCGTGAATATATGCGTACCACTCCTAAGAGTAAATGACCCGATGTACGCAATGCCATTTTGACCTGAAATATTAAAAGATATTAAAACATTAATTAATTATACATTGGTCATATTAAAAAATCTTAACCGTAATACATGTTCATGTAAATATAATACAAATAGAAATACCTTTGGTTGTAAAATACCGTCTACAGATTTTTCAATATTGGTTTCAAAAACATGAGCTTTAGTTAACTTTTTATCCCAATGAGCAGCTAGCCAAATTCGGGCCAATGGCCCCTTTTTGGCCAATACAAAATGTGCGTAGAACATGATTGTATCTCTATATTAACCTAAAACGAATTTCAATAACATTGTTGTTATTTCTAAGAACTAAATGTTTTAAGAATCTAAACAATTATAGGAAAACGTGTCATCTTGTTGCTGTGCACTCAATGAAAACAGTACAATACTGCATTTGTTGATTGAATAACATTAATTGTCATCAACGTAACGATATCACATATTCACACACAGATATAACATCACATACATATTTATTAATTTATGTACAAAAATATGCATTAATTAATGCATAATATTGTAAAAGAAATGATTAGTAAACTTGAACAATGTTAAAATGTCAACATATCTGTACACAAGATGGCGTTTCTATCTATAATTTTTGGCGGTTAAGCGTGCAACCTGAAAAGAGTGAATACCTTCTTTGTTGATTATTTTTTTCCATAAACTTTTCTCACACCGTTTTATCATCAAGTTGTACTACACTCAAGCATGTTTTAAGAAAACAATAATTTCGATAAAGACAAGTAACGGGACTTAGACACATACGGTATGTTGCTAACCGCCGCGTCTTCACAATCATTCACAACCGAGTAATTTCACAGTGTGTTCGAAAACCATCTTTTCTTGCGTCACTGCGTACGTAAACACATCTTTCATTGCTCTTGAACAGCTAGACGATGATTGGTCGATGAATTGTAAACGGCCTTTATACTAATGAATAAAATCTATGTATTTGTAAGTATCGCCTAATAGAATTAACCAATCAGAGATAAGTATTATAAAAAATAGCGTTAACTGAAAAGATATTATTGGTTAATAAAACAGGTTAAATAATGTTGAATTATATATGATTTTTCTTGTAGAAATTCTTACTCATTGATTATATCATAAAACGGCTGTTATTTTACGCATTGTATCCGATTGTAGAGCACGTGTTAACGATAATTCTATGAAATAGAATTAGAAATAGATGGAAAGTTTGTAATAACATGTGGCAGTTACGAGTTCATTTGAGAAATTATTTTTAACTCTAACCTATCATTATTGTTGTCTAAATGTAAAATGCATTTTTCATTTATATAATAGAAAAGATAATTTGTTTTAAATGTTTTTTTTTTTTAAATAAATACTTTACATTATTAATATATTTTCTTTATTCGATTGATTGTAGATAGAAAAAGATGGGAGGATTGATAGCTAAATTAAAACGACCACTGCGTAAATTTAATATAGAAAATCGTGCAAATGCTGTTCTTTCAAGAAGTAAACCAATACCTGCTCCTAAACCGGCTGCTTCAATAAAGCAATTGCAACTAGCTCAAGAATGTAGGTTAATTTCAAACAAATTGATTTTTTGATTCTGTCTATGTTTGATACACTGCTGTTTGTATTGCAATTAAAGAAAAATCATTCTATTTTTTAGTAAATCCAGAATTTTTGAAGGATCATTATCAAAAGAATTTAAAACTCGATGAACGTTTAAAGAATGTTTATGTAACGTCCATAGGACCAGGGGTATGTTTATTAACAGTTATACTATATTCTAGCATGTAAAAAAGTTAACGTTACTAATCATTGGAAATTATTTAGACGAATACATTGAATCAACCTAATCCTGATAGACCGTTACCTGTATCAAGAATCACCGAACACTTTGAATTTGGGTTTTATATTCCGGATTCAGTTCCAGTAGGAAAAATAACTTTGAAAGAGATATTTCAACTTTTTGTTTTGCATAAAGAAGATACTGTAAAAAATTCTTCGGATATTTTAGCCAAAAAATACAAATTAGACAAAGAAACAGTAGGTAAGACAAATTTCTTATTACAAATACAAAATTCTAAATTAATTGTTTCACACTTTTCATTGATATTATGATTTTATGTTTCATAGACAAATTATTAGAATATTACAAACTATATCAAATAATATTACCTAAACGTGACGACGATCATGAAAGTAATTTAAAAAGAGTTGCAAAAGAATTAGAAATTTATCCAGAAGAGTTGGAAGAAGGAACAAAAAAAGAACAAAATGAACTTAATAAAATAAGAGATAAATTTCTGAAATAAAAATGTTATATAACACACATTACTGAAATGTATACTATACAATAAAATTACATAGAAACGTACATTTTGTGTGACTTTTCAAAATGATAAGTAATGCGTACGTTTAAATATAATTATTTATAATTATAATCAAATTTATATAAATATTAAGTATATATCATATTTGTTTTTTCAGCGAAAATTTACAAAATACAAACATTCAAGCACTTTCTATTTAAGATGAATTTATAAGATATATAAATACTGTACAGAATACAGAAGGTAAATATATATTATATTTTATGAGATATAGGTGCAAACAAAATATTTACATATATTCTATGTATTCATATATTTATTGCAATTATGTATCACAGTAAAATTATAGTAGTAATACTTAAACATATTTCTTCAAAAAATTATTTAACTAGTCACGAAGATATTTCTGACCAAAATTCTTTTTAAATTCAATTTAATCGCTCTTGTACTCTTTACAAATGGAACACATACAATATATAGGTTTCCATTTTTTTTGTTTAATCATATCTATCATAATTATAATCATTAATGCAATTCGCTTAAAAAAAATATAATTTACTCTGTCAATCATTGTACTATTATGTGTGTGTACAATTTGTTATGTTACAATTATCGACGCAAATGATTATCGTGCTAATAATAAATTTATTCTAGCTGCATTCTAGTTATAATCGAAATTATTTATTTTTTTTTTTAATTCGATAGAATGTATATTTTATTTTTTATTATATTTAATAATTTTATGTGTATATATGTATATTCAAGGATTTTTTTCAAGTCAAATAACAAATGAATCTTTGTATTAACTGTAAGTCATTGCAAAATCTGAAACATAAAAGATTAAGGTTGAAAATATAAAAATCTTAATAAATAGATATAATAAAGATTATTAAATTTAGATATATATATTCACATACTTAAAATAATATTGTAGATAATAATAATGGTCACTAGCACAGGAATCTCTTTGAATGTGGAAGAATTGGAATGAGAATGCGTGAGAAGAATGTCCTCGTTGACTTTACCCCATTCAGGAATGTCTTTTGTCTTGTCCATCATCCAATAAAAGCCTTTCATTCTTAAATGTTTTTTTAATTCGTTGCCGATCTCCTCTCTGATACGTTGATTGTATTTATTTAACCACCGGCGCTGCATATCATTATAAGTATATCACTGATCAAAGGACACTACAGCAGGACTGTTAGAAATATTATTGCCTTAACCCGAAGAATAAATGTTGTTATAAAGGATACCACGAAAATATTAATTATATCGACATATGGACTTACGTGCATTGGTGTTAACATATTATAATCTATTAATTTAGGTTCGTATGGTACAAGAGTTACGTCCCGAAATTTTAAGAAAGTTTGTCCTGTTTTCTATTGAAATAATAAAATGATAAAATAATATAATAAACAATGAATATTATAACAATAATATAATAACAATGAATAAAAAAATATAAAAGACTCCTACCGATACGTTAGTAGTCAGAACTTCAAGTATATTTTCCAAACGTACACCAAAATCACCCTTCTTATAAAATCCTGGTTCATTGGATAAAAAATATCCTGGTTTTAATGTAACAGACATACCACCTGTATACGATATACTAATTGGAGCTAAAAAAGAAATTCATTTAGTAAGAAGATTGTTTAAAAACTAATCTTTTATATGTTAAATACAAAATTATTAAAAATTTAACACACATTCGTGAACGGATGAAAAGTGTCCAATGCCATGACCGGTACCATGCATATAGTCATTACCAGTACTCCAAAGAGGTTTCCTTGCTAATACATCAACCTGATCAGACATTAAATCATCTGGAAAAATCAAAGAAGACAATTGTATTGATCCGATTAATACACTCGTGTATGCCTTTTTTTGTTCTTCAGTAGGTTTTCCAAAGTGTAAAGTTCTTGTTACATCTGTTGTACCATCTACAAGTGGATTAGAAAATTGATTAATATACCTTTATATGTATATGTAATAACTCAACGTATTATTATAAAAATTGATGTTAATTAAAGTTTACCTAAGTACTGTCCACCCGAATCGACGACCAATGTCGAAGTTTTGCCAATGGGTATATTCGTCAAATTAATTGGTTCGTAATGAGGTAATGCAGCATGAGCACCATAAGCAGCAATCGTTGCAAACGAGATACCTTTATTAAGTTCTTGTTCCAAACGAAACTCGTTTACTACTCTGGAAACTTGCATCTCATCCCATCCCTCGGAATCTAAAGAAATTTGTTCTTCCATGTAAGCAAGGAAATCACACATAGCCATGCCATCTCTGATATGAGCTCTCCTCATGCCTTCGGCTTCAACTTTATTTTTTATTGCTCTTAGATCAATTATGGGCGAGGCTTTTGGTAATCGTTTTTCAGCTGGAATCTGAATAATAATAAAATTATATATATCCGTAATATTTTTTAAAAACAATATTAAAGAACTATAGGAATAGGAATTAATAAGGAAACTCGAACACATAGATAAACCCTATGCAATTCATAATACCATGGACGATAAGGCGTCTCGTGACTCCGGATATCATAAGATCGAGAAAGTGTGAACTCTATAAAATGCTTAAGTTTACATCAATGTATATAGATGGAATCTACGTGTTACTCTTTGGTTCAATATTTGTATATTTCTTTTTAATTTTTAATGTGGTAAAAAAGTATTATATACCATGTGTATAAACATTTAAACTTTATCTATGGCATGTGTATTACTCTATTACGTGAGGATCAAGTTAATTGTAAGCTCAAGCAGCTCTCTAGTGTTAGGGTAACATGTTAAAGAAGGTGTACCTTTGTTTAGTATTATCCAATCTAAATCTCTTTTTCAACACAGATTCAGATTTCCCATCTTTTTCTCTTTATAATTTTATAAATATCTATATATACGTAACCATTAATATTAGAATAAATTTATCGAATAAAAACGTACAGAAGAATATATTTCTTTTGATGCTCCTTCCGCATATCCACATGGCGTTGGTAGCCAAACTTTGTTCCACGCTTGAGACATTGTTCTTAAATCATTCCAGATACATGTTTCATTGTGCCATCTAAAAAAATATTGTTTATTTAATTATATTTATATAACATTTTTTCTTTAATCATTATTATACTTGTAACATTCTGTAACATAAATATCATACTTAACACATTCAGCGTGAGAACAAGAGTCCATTTTTAAATGTTTTTCAACAGATCGTAAAAGTTTATGTTTAGGTACATAAAGATGAAGAGATCCTTGTGTAACGATTGCGTAGGATCTAAGAACAGGAGTATGGGGGAGATCGTATCCTCGAATATTGAATAGCCAAGCTATTTCATCCAATGCTGTGACCACAAATGCATCCGCCTTGGCAAGACTCATTTCTAATCTGATGTCCTTTATTTTTTCTTGCCACGTTTTTCCTGCATATTCGTCTTTTAATGGGTATGCTGCATAGGAATTGTAATTGGGCCGTCCTACTTGCCAGATCAAATCTATCAGATTTTTACGTACTGCCACCAAACTTATGGATGTATTTGCTGAATACAAATACGTTAAATTTTAAAGTTAGAGAAATTAATAATATATATTCGTAAAATCGTTTGGAGTAGGTTTAACCACTTGTGGTGCAAAGAAATTAACAATTGAGATGTGCCACGTACGTCACATTTTTCTTTCTGCAACAATTGTCTGACGGACGTGTGTAACACGTTGCTGGCGTTTTGATAACAGAAGATCAGATCAACGTGCTTGACACGTGTTTCCACCGCAAGTGGTTAAAGATGAAAAATATTCATAGTTTCATTCATTTATTTTTAAATTTAGAACTGAAGTTTTATTACCTAAATCTCTTTCCCAAGCTTCCCACGTAGCTGCAGATACTAATTTCGGATCTGCACCTATTCGGATGTTAAATCGATTTCGAAATTCATGTTTCAACCATTCAGTAATAGACGGAATCTATGAGGTTAACCAGAAACAGTTCATTAATTATTAAAAAATTTATAGAAAGAATATGGACAGTTCAATATATAATAAATTACAGTATGGAATATTTGATCTTATATAGACGACGGGTTTCACCTCTTTTTGCCACGATTAAGAGGAGGATCGCTCATATGTATAAAATTTACTCAGAAATTATACGTATTATTTTCAAATTTATAAGGTAATTTTTTTTATTGCGTTTATTCAGTTTTGAGTAAATTTAGGTACAGGTTATATACTCTCTTTTAACAACAGGTGATATTTAAAAAACCTGTAAATTTTGCAATCGTGTGGGGTTTCACGATTTAAAAATAATTTGTTGAGATAAGCGTCTTCCTTTTCATCTCTATCGTCTGATTACTATAGTTTCACATAACACAGCATTTTTTAAGATGATACGCACCGCCTGTCTTACATAAGGATAACCTGTATATTTTAAGTTTCAAGAATTTTTAAGGGGACCACTCAGACAACCCACTTCCCATAACTCCTCCTACAGAGTAAGAAGAGCGAACGATCATCGGTGACTACAATCTTGAAATAAATTCAAGATTGTAAGTCGTCCTCACGCTCAAGGAAGAGGGTTCCATCTCCTCATCGTGGTTGCAACATCTCAGCATTACGCTAAGCAGTTGTGAAGATATACTACAGAAATGATCCTGTGAAGTATGATCTTAATGAATATCCGTTTTAGTTGGTGCTTTATACTTTTCAAACATCGTTTCACAGTTGAGAAAAAGTTTTAGAGTGAGCCATCTAGCGTACGGTAGACCAATTAATTCTCTCTGCACTCGTACGTAGTTATATTTGACAGGGGATCTTACACTGAAGCACCAACGGATTCTAATAAGATTTGGTGTATTAGTAGTATACCTTTAAGGTATTATTGTGGTAAAATATTTTTGTCCATTGGTCAGCCAATTTAAAAAAAAAAAAGCATTTAAAGTTTTGCTTTTTTTGTATATCCACTTATATACTTTTAAATTACAAATTCATTTAAGCCTTACACTGGCGTAAGTAGCAGCATTCTTGCTTCTCGCACCACGTTATTTGAGTTCGAACCTCCATACAGGAAGGAATTTTTTTTTTTATATAAGTTTTTTCTATCTACAAGTTTTGAAATCTTTGAATCTTATTTTTAAAGGTATACTACTAATATACTAAAATCTTATTAAAATCCGTTGATGCTCCAGTGTAAGGTTTCCTTTGTGAATATAGTAACATTTCATACGTAGTATATTAAGCATATTGAGTAGTTATTACGTAAAAATGATGACAATAGAAAAAGTAACAAAAACAAAATATATATTTTGAGTATTAATTTATACTATATATATTTAATAATTTTAATTATTTTATAATCTTCTTGTTGTCGTGTAATTTTTGATATAATTTATATACATATAAATATGAATAAAGTCATACTAAATTTACTCACGGGTTTTCGTCCCTTTTTCATTAGTATCCAATTACAGTCAAGTTCTAAATCTGCTTGCAAATGATATCTTCCATCTGTCCACAGAGCAGCTTTTGCCAATGTTACGACTGCATCTCCAGCACTGCCGTAAAATCCAGATAAAAATTCTCTTCTCATATCTCGTGGATCGACAGTTTCACTCTAATAAATAACAGACGACTGAAGATATAGTATCATTTTAAATAAACAATTAATTTTTAATACAATTGATTATTTTTGTAAGATTATTAGACCAATGCACTTAATTTTTAACATTTTTATATTATTTATATTAAAATTTCGTTTTAATTACTGTTTAATGAATGAAGTATTGCAAAAAGAACTGTGGAAAATAAATGAAGCCTAGAAACATGTTATTATAAATTTGACTGTTGTGATACCTCCGATGTATATTACATGGATATTTTGTATTTTGTATATTGCCTAATTTTAATTTATGTTACCTGATGTTCGTCGTCCGATGTTACAATGTAACCATGAAGTGGTGCTGATTCAACCGATGAAATTCGAACCATTTCAGATCTCAATTGTCTTAGTCTCAAAGATGTATCCTTTCTGTTAACAGGTTGATTCCCGATGTGTTCGCTGAGTGGACAATAAGATCTCTTGGCACCATGGTAATTGTAAAATGATAATTCTGGAATCTTTTGTAACTTTGTTACACCTGTAACAATATCAATTATATGTTTTTTTGTTTATATTTAATAATTTTATTCAATTCAAATTATTTAATTATTATTAAAAAAATAAAAAAAAAAAATAAAATAAAAAAAACCCTCGAAAGGATTAAACCTCTTGGAGGCGCCGGGCATCGATCCCGGTACCTCTCGCATGCTAAGCGAGCGCTCTACCATCTGAGCTACGCCCCCTGGTTGTTGGCTCAGCAAATAAGATTGTATATAAGATATATAATAATTGTATATTATAGGATATTTAATATAACTTATATACATTATTGATTATTATTATTATTATTATTATTATTAATATGATTATATTTTAAGGTAAATGATTTCAACGATTATGATTTCGATTTGAATTTTAATATGAAAGAACTAACGCAGAAATGTTAGTAAAACATTTCTGGATCCTCAATGACTAAAAATTAATTTAAATGAGTTTACACTAATGAAAGATAAAATAGAGTAGAGAAGATAGTTTGAGAAACACTTTTATAAAGCATCAAGGATATTAATCTTTTGTTCAAAGCTGAGATATAGTGAAAAATGAATTAACAAAAAAAAATATTTTTTAAAAAGTAAAAACAAAAGAAAAATGTAAATCATGGGAAAAGATCATCGATTTGTATTTTAAAATTAATGTTATGAAATATTTTCCATGCTCATGTGTGTGTGTGTGTGTGTTCGTGCGTGTGTGTGGGTGTTACGAGAAGAGTTTCAATAATATTTTTTCAAATCATTTTCGATTTCGTAGTTAAAAAAATAAAATAAAATGATATCTCGTGTCTATCGAATTGACGAGAAATGTATTTATATGTATATATAGATATGCATGCAATATTATTATGGAATTTTTCTTATGCCTTTATGCCAAAGGATATGATTTCTCTTAAAATAATATATAATACGACTCTAATTTGTTACGTGACTTGTTTTTTGTTCGCTCTGTTGATCGCTCATATAATCATCATCGTGTAGGTTATCTTAAATCATATTTTTCTACGCATCCTTATTATTAATTAGAAAAAATTGTTTTTTAATAAAAAGATTGTCAACTTTGAAAAATCGAACACAGAGAACGAGGTTTTGATAATTTTGACAATTTTTTTTTGAGAAAGATAAAGAAGGACAAAAATAGAATTTAAAAAGCCGGAAGAATCAAATTTACAAACAAATTGTTCAGAAAGATGAATGCCCAAAGCAGTAAGCCCGGAAATCCGACGCTCATAATTCATTCTAACAATTCACATCGTAATTTAGATAGATAATAAGAGAGATTTTGAAGAAAAAAAAATAAAATGCTTTTGATTTAATATTCTTCCACGGTAAAGCAAAATACGTAGCGTGTTATTATGCGGCCGATGCACGCTTTTGATTGTGCAATGTCATGAAGTACGGTTAATTTTGTTATTTTTTCTTTTTTTTTTTTTTTTTTAGATGACTACAGATATCAGACAGAAGCTATAAACGTTCAGTCTGATGGCACGATTATTTCAGACGGTCGACATGTCGCTGATCAAGTTGGTGCTTTTTGCTTTGGTGGGGTTTGCCTGGGTTATTGCTGAGGAAGAGGTTCAAGTGGAAATTCCACAGGGTCCACTGAAGGGTTTAAAAACACAAACAGTATGGCATAATATGCCGTATTACAGTTTCAAAGGGATACCTTATGCAAAGCCTAATGTTGGTGTTGACAAGTTCAGGGTAATGAAAGAAAAAATAAATAGAAAGCTAAGAGACTTATTGATCAAGTTTTGGACGTTTCAATCAATTGGATTGAATTGTATGTTAAAAGATGCCAGAGCCTGCTGATTCTTGGGAAGGTGTTTATGATGCTACCAAACATCGTTCGACCTGTCCATTCTTTTGCATGCTTAAACAAGATCTTTTGGGTGACGAGGATTGTCTCTATCTTAACGTTTACACTCCAGAAATGAACAAAGATGCTCGTAAAGCTGTAATGGTTTGGATTCATGGTGGTTCTTGGAATGCAGGATTTGGAGATGATGCCATTTATGGGCCAGATTTTCTTGTCGAACAGGACGTCGTTGTCGTTACTTTCAATTACAGACTCGGCGCTCTTGGTAAATATATTTCATGAAGTCAAAGAAAATGAAGAAATGTGTAAGGTATGTTTTTTAATGATTAGGTTTCTTAAATACTGGCGATGAACATGCTCCTGGAAACGCTGGTATGAAAGATCAAGTAATGGCACTTATGTGGGTGAAAGATAACATACATTATTTTGGAGGATGTCCAAACAGAGTCACCATATTTGGTCAAAGCTCTGGTGGTGCCTCTGTTCAGTATCACATGATGTCTCCGATGTCAGAAGGTAATATTGAAGAAGGTAGTATCATACTCGAAAGATAAACTATCAAGAAAATTTTATTACGTTTAGGATTGTTCAACAACGTTATTGCTCAAAGTGGAGCAATATTGAACCCATGGGCAATAGAATATAAACCTAAAGAAATGGCTTTTAAATTGGGTGAGAAACTTGGAATTAGTACCCAGGATACTGGTGAATTGATCAAAAAACTTGCTGAATTTTCTGCAAAAGACATAGTTACAGCGACTAAAGAGATGATGAATGATATTGTAATTATCCTGTTGTCAATTAAAGTTAACATTGTTCGGAAAATAAAATTATGAATCTCGTAATGAAGAAAAGAAAAGATTAACAATAATTATTATTATGTTAGATTGAAATCTGTGTTATTAAGATCAAAACCGGAAATAGACTAGACATATAATTCTGTAAATCTTTAATTTTAATTAGTTTCTATTTTTATGCTATAGAATACAGCGAATGGACATTTACAAGTATTTGTACCATCAGTGGAATATGATTTTGGTCAGGACGTATTCTTAACAACTGATCCTTGGACTCTTATCAAAACTGGAAAAATTGCTGATGTACCGATTATGGGTGGTGTTACGTTAGAAGAAGCAAGTTTCTTTGCTGAATGTATGTATATAATAAATACTATCTTTAATAATACAATATTGTAAATAGATGATAATAAATTTCTAACAGAATGAATTTAATTGATATTTAATTGTTGTATTTAGTAATGTTGCCACATGCTGATCATTTCAATAATCAGTTCGAAGTTTTCTTACCTGATGATTTAAATGTAACCGATCCTACTCAAAGAAAACAATTAGGCGAATCTATAAAGGAATTCTATTTTCATGGTAAAGACATTTCCAAGGATACCCTAAAAGAATTCACGCAGGTAATTATTTGTTAATTTGTAATTTTATAGAAAATTTTGTAAAGTGAACATTGTTTGATAACATTTTTTACATTTTAGATGTTGACCGATGCTTACTTTACTGCCGGAGCTGCATTTTCTCTAAATTTTATAACTCACAGAAATACAGCACCGGTTTATCAATATATATTCGAATATGAAGCTCCATTTGGTATCATGAAAAATGTGGTTAACTCTGAGAAAGGTATGCATCAATTAAATAAGTTATAATATTACAATTATAAATTATTTCAAATTAAAACACAATAATAATAAATAAATATATCTTTTAATTTTTAGGTATAGCCCATGGGGATGAATTAGGTTACGAATTTTATTCGAACATTTTCAAAAATTTACCTAAATCTGGTTCACCCGAAGAAAAAATGACGCGGATTATCACTAAATTATGGACGAATTTTGCTAAAGATGGGTAAGTTTTATACTTAATAGGAAACATTGACTTTTTAACAGGTTTTTTAAATAGTCTGCCAAAAACAATGTTAATCCAAGACCCTCAAATTTAACGGTCCACCACTGTTTCCTAATCATCTAATAATTTTGCCTATCTTTTCTTTTTCAGAAATCCGACTTCTAAGCTAGACGAAGACATTACTATTAATTGGGAGCCAAAAAATAAAGAGATATGCAAATATATTCACATCAATCAAGATTTGAAGATGGACGCACATTTATTAGGAGACAGAGTTCCATTATGGGCAGAATTATATAAAAATGTTTTCAATTCATAATTATCAATGCATATATTATATTATATTCGATAAGCATATATATATATATATATATATATATATGTATTAGTTATTATTATAATTAATCTATGTAACGTATAATAATTTCTTTTTTCGCACGCAATAGTTATTAAGTAAATACACAAAGAAGATTCTTCCAAAAGTATTTCGAAATAAATAAATAAASTATTGTATAATCCATAAGAGAGTTAAAAAAAGATTTATTATATCGAGAATAAAATCGTAGTTCCTAATAGCGGTGTCCATTGTATAATAGTATCCCGCTTATTATTTCATGGTCACTGTTGTGATTCATCATTATTCGCTTTAATATATAAATTATTTTTAATGCTACGATTTCTGATATGATTTGATATTTTTTACATTAGTTGATAAAAATAAAAATAAAAATAAAACAACAATAGTAAATAAAATTAGATTAAAGAAAAGGAAAGAGAGAATAAAAAAGATAAGAAAAAGAAGGAACAAAATCGATGAGATAGAAAGAGTAAGGGAGAATGAAAATGTTTAGCAAAGGAGAGAGAAATCGTGAAAGGATAGAAATGTGAAACGAAAGTGCAAGTGAAATTCGTTCTCTTTGTTACTATTACATTGTCGTTATCGTTCTACTATTTATTCACCACTCACTTTTGTACTTCCGATTGATCAAGCTACTAAAAGAGCGAGTAGGTTGCTGAAGCATCAGCTTATCTGTGAAATTCACACTGTAAATACACGTGTGCGATAGTATGAGTTAGGTTTATCGACTGTGTAGTCAGTCATTTAATGAAAATGTATGTGTTTTATTATATAGTTATTTATAACAAATGACGAAAAAAACAAACAAACAGATTTTTCTCTTTCTTCGTGTTTATACGCTTCGAGTATTTTTGTTTTATAATTACATTTTTTTTTAATCCAATTTTAAGTAAAGTTTTTTTTATTGCGTTGGGAGTGATTTTTTAAGGTCGAGAAAAAGTATAATTATTTAAAGAGGAGGTAGAGAGGAGAGAGAGAAAGGGGGGAAGAGAGATAGAATGATTTTATTTTGTCCACATTGTTCAGCAGAGATAAAGATACAAGGATAAATAGAAAGATGATTAAATTATTCGTAGGAGTGGATCACGACTTGAGATGATGTTCAGAATCTGACGAGTGAGATAGCATAAGATATCAGTAGGTCTCTTTCTCGTTTTTCAGCATTTCTAAGTTGATTATTTTAATAAGTGATCATGGCTTTCGTTATCATCACACGACATTCAAAATTTTATCTAAAAGCAAAATTTAACTTTCATAACTAATTGTGTTATATCATAGACAAAATTTCTGATTCCTTTTAAGAGGCAACCATGTTCAATAATTAGACAATAGAAATGGCATTATTTAATTTTATTATTAAGTATAGTCTGATTTACAGTATCTCTCGGTAGGTTAAAAATAAAGAAATAACAAAAAAAAAATTAAACAGAGCCAAAGTCAGATCGAAACACATATCATTAGGATAGAGAAGATTTGTCGTGTCGTATCTTTGTCTCTTCATAGTCCAGGTCACGAGATGATTTTCAGTATCTTGTTACTAGGGTAACATGAATGTGCAAGAGATTCCAACTTCTCAGCAATCATCTGGACCAATAAGCTTTTTTATTCTCTCTCTATCTTTCTCTTTTCACTGTTTCTCGTGTATCAGCATCGATATCTTGCTACATCTCCTTGCGTATCTTTAGTTCGATACAGACATATTATACTTACATATATCTATCGATTGTTTGAAAATTGGTAGCTGTCGAAGGGGACTCGTTCGGTCCGTCAAATTTATGAGTCTCGTCTTCGGAGGCCAAAATGCGGAATGTTTTAACAGGCTGTCATAAGAACGAGAAAGTTAAACAAGAGTTAAATAATTTTCGGGGGTGAGTCAGATCTTTGCTTAAATATCAGGAGGGTATATTAGACGATCATAGGATCGTCTTTGATTTAGAATTGCTCGAGGCTTTTTCTAACAGGAGATTAGGAACCTCGTTGTGTATGTTTTAAGGGATGATATAATAAAACTATATCTTTTATTTTGTTGAGTTTTAATTATTATTATATATAATCTGTCTTGTGTAATTATCTTCTATTTATGTTTATTTATTTATCTTGCGTTAATATACTTTTTTAAATATTTTTTTTTACTTAAATTATATTTATCTTTTTCATACAATTATTTCATACAATAACAGATAATTTCAAGAAGAATAAAATGTAAAAACATTTTATCATCTTCCTACAATGCATTATTCTATTATTTCCTTTCATGTTAATGAAAAAGAGATGAAATACGTGTATATAATATTATACTTACTTACATTTAACGTACATTCATATAAGTATATAGAATTTTGCAATTCAGGGAGTGGCAAGAACGAGCGAGCGAATGCGGTTGAGTGGATGAATGCTGGCAAGTAAAACTAAACATCCGGATAGTAGAATGACTAGAGGGTAACTGAAGGGGTGTTGGGTCAGGGAAGATTTTGTTTCTCTAATCCTTTCATAGCTATTGAAGAGAGAAACGTGCTAATTTATTCAAATTAAATTATAAAGAAACTACTTTTTATTATTTCTTTATTTTTATATTTAAATTAGCTTCATTTTTAATTCCATAATTAACATAAGTATTTAAATAGACTGCGTATATACTCCAGTAATAAATATACTGCACATTCTAACAATATGATGTGCGATTGAAATTTATCATTGCACGTAGTTCTTCATCTTATCTATTTAATCTAATATTAATGAATGAAAAATGAATATTATCTTATTCATTGACTGAATAAGGGTTGCGTATATACATATATATATATATACTTGGAATCGTCCTTCTCGAGAGAGATCGATGCTGGCAGCACAATGAACGCGTGTTCCAATGTTCCAAATGGAAACAAAATCGAAGAGAAAGTATAACTTCCATTTCCTTTCCTTCTTTTCCATCCCCTTTTGCTAATAATGGTTGCGCGCAAGCGTTGCTTCGCGAGAGAACCGATAAAAAAGAAATATAAGTCTTCTCTCGATCACCCTTCGTTCGTTTTTATGGATTCGAATGGAGGGTGGTTTGGGGGGGGGATTGAACGGCGGGGTATTTGGAGGGAAGGGGGAAGCTAGGGTAGGGTAGTGTTATGTGACCAACTCGTACCCCATAGGATCCTGTCATCGATGAGATGGCAACTTGCTTAAGTGTTCGATTCATGAGGAATTGAAAGCAATCCTGACGACGCAGCTTCGAAGGATCGAGTCGTAGACTGGAGATGTGTCGTATGAGAAAGACGAGTAAAACCCTCTTGTACGGACTCCTTTCGAGGGATAAAGCGTCGCCGATGCGCGCCACCCTGCCAGGAGAACATACCAGTTTGGAGCAAAGCAACCCCTTCCGGGTTATTCGCTCTCTAGATTTGTTTCGACTCGAGTTGCGCAGTATCACTCCCTCACCCTCTCTTTCTCTTCCTTTCTATTTTTATTTTGTACATTCTGAGGTTTATCGATTATATCTCATGTTTCACCCGTGCTCTTCTTTATTATCCATGCATGAAGGTGTAGTTGAAAGTAAAAGTAATAAAAGAAGAAAGAAAAAAAAAAGAGGAACACACGTTAATGTCAATATGATTTTAACAATATTTTATGAATTTTTATTAATTTAAAGTAAATTAATATATGAATTAAATTAAGTTAAAGTACGCATGAATTTTTAGAGACAGCAGCTGGTCGCGTACGGTTGGACGTTCTAGCCTTTTTAAAAGAAGACAACATCTGTCGCATGGAATGAATTGTGAATTGGTTTGGGGTGGTTCGTACACGCAAATCCGGTCGATGATGACTGTACTATAGTGTTACGTATAAGTAGGGTTGAGTCGAGTAAACGTAACCTTCGCAGGGGTTGCAATTCAGCCCCTCAAACCTCGTGTTACCCTGCTACCAAACCGCCCTCGTTTTCCAATAAATACAAAGCGTGTTAGTCTTCTCGTCTAATTTTCGACACCTTCGAGGAAAAATATACGTTGGATTGGAATAATGGAAAGAGAATCGGTTTAGTCTGTTCCTTTGAATACGTTCACTGTTTTCCTCTCACGTTCTCTTCGTTATTGGAAAACGATAAGGAAGTGATCGATTCACCCGACGATCTTGATGATATCCTGTTCCATTTCCGGTCGAGTTTCCATCGGCTCTGACCATTCCATTACTTCGATTTATTGATTTCACGTGTATTTCTCTGTTACTCTTCCTCTTCTCTTATTCATTCTCGGCTTTATCGAAAGCTTCATTAGAAGCTTCATCATCATGGTTTCTCACTTTCATGAACTCTCTCCCTAACAATGGAAGATGAAACCTCTAACTCCTACATACTGGCCGGTTCCGCTAACCAATCAGGAATTCCTATTCCCGATCACCGAACGCTCCAGTTTATTGGCCATCGAACGTATGTCTCTTTACCAATGAAACACCTCTTCAAGTATTTATACTTCGAATAAACGAATCTTCTTAACCTTTCATTAAACTCTCTCGAAGATACATATATTCTTTTAATAGTTATAAATATGTTGTTTGAAATATTTTAATCGAGTATTGTTCTTTTTTCCATATTTCATTTAACATATAACCTTGATAAAAATGAGATATTTTATAAAATGAAGCTGTTGATTACGGAAATAAAGTCTAATAATAAGTTACAAATTTATTTACATTATTTTATAGCATAATTTGTATGATAATGATATAATTACATTATATCATATAAATTATGCAATAAATTTGTTTTTAAAGATTGCTCACTTACTGTTATATTCTATTTTCCTAATTAATTGCTTAATTGATATTCAAATAATGATTATGAAGTCTTAATATCTTACTAAAATAATTTGTGATATTTAACTTTCGTTAACAAAATGGATCGATATAAAAATAAATTTAACGTAAAATAAAGTACATGGATTATTTCGATGTTTTATGTATTTCATATTTTATGTTACTTTTATAAAATCACAATGTGTGTGTGTTAAAGTTCAAATATAT